GTTCTATCTTTGAAGGTCCCCGCTCCATTCTGATTGCTTTTATCTTTGATTGTTCCTACCCACTCCTAATGTCTTAATTTATCCTCAAGCCATCCCTCGTGTGAGTTAGAATGCACTCATAATAACTGTTTTTAGCTCATCTGCCTTTTCTAAGTTCAACTTGCATTGCCATGGAGATGAGATGTACAAGTAGACACCACCCAAGAATTCAACAACAAGTGACATTTTGGAAAGGGTAAGAATATTACTGTGCTAATACAGAACCAGTATGGTGACATGACTCAAATTTCCCCTCTGAGATGATTTCCATCTCTCATGACTCCAAGAAGATGAAGGAAGAACTCTCATTAACTGAGTAACTGCTCTGCTGTTCACAAGAGGTGGGGACTAAAGCAGGAAGTCAATTTCTTCTGCAGCTGGCAGTGGTCAGTACTAGCTGAGTATGTCCACAAATTCAATACCTCCTCCTTTGTTCTCTGTTCTTCGTTGCTTTCATTAATTTTCCCACTATATAAAGAAAACTATTGGTTGTAATCCTAGTCTCATGGTTAAAGTTGGCAGTGCTATGAGCTTAGGCAGAAAGCAAAGAAAAAAGAGTCCATAGGCTCCAGACTGTTAAAAGGGTTCATGACAAAAGGGTCTAGATGAAGTAGAACACATTTTTGAAAGCCAACCAGCATCTAGGAAAAGGGATCCTTTACTGATGTACATGTTGTTTCCCCCTGGTAATTGGTTTCTTATTCTTTACCTCTATGGCTCCCCACATAAGCCCAGTAGTACGTGAGGGAACAACAATTATTACATTCCATGTGACAGATATAGATGAGGATTTATTCAAGAGGAACCACCTGAGCAGCCCTGATCTCACTTATATCACCCATATCTACTTACACGTGCTGGTTCTGTCCTTGGCAACTGATTTTTGAGGGTTTGTTTTTCTTTTTTTCTTTTTTCCTTTTCTCTCTCTCTCTCTCTCTCTCTCTCTCTCTCTCTCTCTCTCTCTCTCTCTCTCTCTCTCTCTCTCTCTCTCTCTCTCTCTCTCTCTCTCTCTCTCTCCCTCCCTCCTTCCTCTCTTTCTCTCTTCCTATTTCTGCTACTGGGAGTTAAGCTTTGTTTTTGTAAAACCTGTTTGAGTTTATCTGATTTCATTTTTGTTTGTTTTATTTGGCTTCAAAAAAAGAAAAACAATTCCCCACTTCAGAAGACTGCATTTTATTTTGCCTTTTCTTTCTCCTCAGTGACCAGATTTTTCTTTAATCCTTTTGGAATGCATTAAATCTTTTTTTAAAAATTTCAATTTTTCCCATGTAGAGATTTTATTACAAAATTTATTTGCTGTATTTTTAAACAACATTTATTCCAGGAAAGTCCTACCTATTCCAATTTTATTTTTTCATTTTATTAGATGTTATGTCTAAACCTTTATCCAACAAGTTCTTCTCTTATGTTCTATTGGCAAAGTAGGACATAGTTGAGTTTCTTCTATTTCTAATTAAACAGAGGGGTATGGCAAGAGAAGAAAAAAGAGGCCCACAAACCAGTGTACTCCTTGTGAAGGGGTGCAAAAACACTATTGATCAGTCCCTGTAGTTCCATATAATTGCTCTGAATGATGGTGCTACTTACCTCATTCTATCAAATTGTCTGTTCTGTTTCCTGGTCTCTGCAACTGTGCTCCTCTGATCTCCAGGTGTCCCAAACTTCTTGACAGCCTCTACTTCTCAAACTCTCTTGACTCAAGCTGCCAAGGTCAATCTTCCCCTCCCATAAGAAGCTTTATCATTTGGTCTGTGGAAGTTTGTATGAGGAGTTAAATTAATGGCTGCTCATCCTAGCAGGGCTGAGTCACCTGCTTTTTTCCTTTAAAGAAAGTGGGACTCTGGCCTCACTCTTTATGAGAAGTCCCAAAGAGAAACAAACTAAACATTTCAAATAGAAAACCAGAAAACAGAATTGTTCCTTTTGAAGCCTACTGAGTGGGCTTCCTGACTCAGTGATCAATACTCTCGGGTATTGCTTTGACTCAGCCCTCCCTCTCCTGGGGAGGGAGTTGGGGAGTGGAGAAGGGGGAAGGGAATGAGAAGAAAGGGACCAATCAGAGTTTAATGTCATCATCCTAAAAAGCCAAGTCCTTCAGTACTAAGCATGTGTGTCCACAGAAGTGGCCAAGTGCTCCATAGGCCTACATGCTCCATAGGATGGCTGTTTCTTCCTTCCTCCATCCCTCCTTCCTTTTTTCCTTCCTTCCTCCTTCTTTCCTCCATTCTTTTCTCCTTTCCTTTTCTTTTTTCTATTTATCAATATACCACTTTCAAGAAACTTTTTCTGCCATTCACAATGATACTTTCCAAAAGTTATTCTAATATCTTTTTTTGATTAATTTTCTTTCCCTTTTAATTAATTCTCTTTCTCCCCTTAACTCTCTTTGTGGAAACATTTCCCAGGGTTCTGTAATCAGCCTTTTCTTTTCTACATTTTCCCCTCTTAGTGATCGCCTTCAGTCATGTGTCTTTAACGATAACCAGCACCATCATTCAGAGCAATTATATGGAACTACAGGGCCTGATCAATAGTGTTTTTGCACCCCTTCACAAGGAGTACACAAGGTTTGTGGGCCTCTTTTTTCTTCTCTTTCCACACCCCTCTGTTTAATTAGAAATAGAAGAAACTCAACTATGTCCTACTTTGCCAATAGAACATAAGAGAAGAACTTGTTGAATAAAGGTTTAGACATAACATCTAATAAAATGAAAAAATGCCTCCAAGGTCTTTAGCTTCAGCCCTGATCTTTCCCCTGAACTTCAGACCAACATTTCCCATTGCCTTTTGGACATCTCTATTTCCATTTTCCACTATCGTATCTAACTTAATCTACCCCAAAACAAGCTTATCGTATTCTCCTCAATCATAATAATAACTCACATTTAACTAGTGCTTTAAGATTTATATAGTGGGGCAGCTAGGTGGCGCAGTGGATAGGGCACAGACCCTGGAGTCAGGAGGACCTGAGTTCAAATCTCGGCTTCAGACACAAATACCATAGCATGTCTAGCTGTGTGACTCTGGGCAAGTCACTTAACCCCAATTGCTTCACCAAAAAAAAAAAAGATTTACATAGTGATTTCTTCCTAACAACCCAGTGAAACAGATATTATTTTAGTTACTTGATGTCACTCATATGAACCTCATACCCAGTTTTTTTGCCTTAAGGCTCCCCACATGAGCCCAATCTATCCAAGACACAGAATAAGAATTACAGATGTTCAGAGCTGGAAGGGACATTACAGGGTATTCTTGTCTAGCCCTGTACCTAAACAAGAATTCTCTCAAGAAGATAAGGATAAATGATCATTCATCCTTCACTCAACTATCTGTCAAGAGTACACTCAGTTTTTGTATAGTTAAGTGTTTTTTCCTTACATTAAGCCTAAACTTGGCCTCTTTGTAGCTTCCTCCCACTGCTTCCAGTTCTGCCTGATGGGGCCAGGCAGAAAAAAATCTAATCTCTCTATCATGGGGCTGCCTTTCAAATATTTGGAGAGAGCTGTCATATGACCTTTCCCAAAATCTTTCCAGGCTAAATATTCCCAGTTCTTTTTTTCAACTAATCCTCATATAGCATGAATTTAAGCCTTTTATGATCTTATTGATCCTCCTCTGGACAATCCTGCTTTTCAATGTCCTTTCTGATTATTTGGTTTTTTAGGCAGTTGGGGTTAAGTGACTTGCCCAGGGTCACACGGTTGTAAGTGTCAAGTGTTTGGTCTGAGGCTGCATTTGAACTCAGGTCCTCCTGACTCCAGGGCCGGTGCTCTATATCTACTGTGCCACCTAGCTGCCCCTTCAATGTCCTTTCTGGAATGTGGACCTCAGAGCAGAGCATAATACTCTAGCTGTGGTCTGACCAGCGCAGAATATGGCAAGACTATCACTTTCCTAGTTTAGAGTACTATGCTTCTCTCAATGCATTTATTAGCCTTCTTGATTTCTAAGATTACATCATCAGAACAATATTCCTAAGCACTATCCGAGTTAAATTGATCCCCTACTCAAAATTCTTCAATCACTTTTCATTCCCTACAGAATAAAATTCAAATTCCTTAACTGGGTCTTCAAAAGCCTCCATGATGTGCCTTTTTATAACCTTGTCTATTATCACCTTCCATACATTACTCTCAGGTCAAATTGCATTACTAAGCATTCCCCAAAAATATTTAATTAATTATTGGTCTAATGCCTTTGTTCATTGTCATCTCTACATAGAAAACCTGCCCCTCCAAATGCTACCCCTTAAAATCATATCTATCCTTTAAAGTCTGCTTAAATGACAACACATTTACTAAATCTCTCCTGTCCCCAACTCCTATGGCATTTTGAACTTTTTATACCCTCTTCCTTGCACCTTTCACAGTGTTTTATACATAGTAAGCACTCGAATGAATGAATGTCAGTCAAATAATGAGTACATGACACAAAGTCATATTGAGATTCCCTCACATTTTAACTTCTCAAAAATTGAGCCAATGTTTAGTTGTAGCATCAATTATAGCTTGAATAGTAGATAGATTGCTTGACCTGGGATCAAAATGACTTTGGTTCAAATCTTGCCTCACACCCCCCCCCACACACACACGATAGCTGTGTGACCTTGGACAAGTCACCTTATGTTTCTAAGTCTAACTTGCCTCATGTGAAAAATGGAAATAATAAGATCATCTATCTCACATTTCTATAAGCCACAAATGAGATGTTGTATGTAGAATACTTTGGAAATTTTAAAGTGCTATGTAAATGTCAATGATATCATTCAACTTTTGTTTCTGGACAGAGTCCTTGATCATTCAGAAGACAATAATGTTTCATTGAAAATTAGCGGGACAAACTGAGTTGATGATGTTGATATATTCAGAAGGTTGCCTGGCTGATGTGACGGAGTAGCTAAACTAAGAGTGTCTACCCTTTTAATCATCTCGACTTCCTGCTGGCTAATCTCTCAGGAAGAGTCATCAGACCTCTTTCTCTATCTCCAGGGCTAACAAGAGGTCCCTTTAGACACTCACTCTGAAAGAAATGGAAAGGTGTCCATTGACAGGGAATGTTTTAAAAGTTCCCTGTATTCAAATTGGTTCAGAGAACTTTCCCAGAGAATCCTGGCAGGAAGTAACAATGAAGGTAGGTGAGGTTTTCCTTTACCACAGAGGAAAGCTTACTTCTTGTTAACAGTTTTCATCTTTAGTCAATAAGCATTTCAGAGGGTGGAGAGTATTTTAATAATTATATTTTTAGAATATAATTTCATCACATTAGAAAATATTTAACAGTATTTAAGAGCTGAACAGAGCTTGATAATTATGCTAATATTCATTGATTAGTATTGTTGATCCATTTTTTTTCATTTATTCTTTTTGAAAAGAACATTCATTGCTTGTGGTCTTATTGTAAAATTTATGTATTGAGCACCATAACAGCATGAGGGGAATTTCAAATACCACAGCACAAAACAAATATATATACCCAGAGTGCTTGTTTCTTCTATGGAGGGAATCCAAAGTCTGAAAGCTTCTGGCTTGGCCCTACTCCTGGCAGTTTAATTCATTTCCCTCTCCTGTTGTGCTCCCCAGGTAACGGCCATTCTTTAAAAGTGGAATCCTCTAAATCTGCAAGCAGTTATTCTTTTGTGATTGGTCTTTCTGTTTTTAAACCTGCACAGGACTGAATCATAATGTCCATTTAACTGTTCTTCTCCCTGGATTTATAGAGACTTTTTGAAAGAAGAAACTGGACTCCTCAAGCTATCCTCTACCTCAAGGGGACTGGTAAGTACTAAACAAAACAAACAAACAAAAAGGTCTTTCATTTTGTGAGATATTTATTCAGTGAGAGCAAGAGTCCATAGCAAAAGACACAGAGGAACTCTGATAGGCTACTCTTTTTGCCTTGCAGTTTTAAGAATGCCTTTTAAAATTAAACAAGACTGCAGTGCTGAAAAAGTAAAAATTTTCAGCTGATTAGAAATTTTCACAGCCTCTAAAAACTGGCTTTGCACTTGCATGCCAATATATTTAGGAGGAGAGAATGGGACTCTTAGATTGGTTACAAGATAACATTTTCAGCTCTTGAACATAACTGCCACAGCATATAGTCCCAGTCTATGTATTGGAGTGCTTTGCCAGCCTTCAAATGTGTCAGATCCCATGGGTTAGTATGCTGAAAGGGGGAGATCATCTTTGTGTGAATTGGGAACCCGACCTTTTAATTTAGCCAAGGTAATGCCTAAAGAAGCACCACAATTATCACAGGGCAGACTGCTTTTTATTTGCTTTTGTATCACCTTCATTTCTGAATATATTCTTCCCCTTCCCCTTAACTAGCCAGATGTATTGTTTATCAAAGTTTAAAAAAGAAAAAAAAAAGATGGAGGGAAGCAGTTCTGACAACCCAGCCAACGCATCAACTGCACGTCACAATATGCGCAATATTCCACACGGATAGGTCCCTACCTTTCCAAAGAGTAGATGGATGGATGTGTTTCTCAACTCTTCTTGATCAAGTTTGGTTCATTATAATTACATTCAGTTTCTTCGTTGTTTTCTTTTCCTTTACATTGTTGTTGTTTTTGTATGTTGTTTTCCTGGTCTTGCTTATTTCACTCTTGCTCTGCATCAGTCCACAAACATCTTCAGGGCAGAGTTTGTAGCAAAAAAAAGCCAAATTCATTTTTAAAAAATTTAAAAACCTTTTCCCCATCCTTTTCTCTTCTCTCCCCTCTCTTCCCCAGGTTCCAAAAAGGCATTTTTCTTTCTTGAGGCAATCAGGGTTAAGTGATTTGCCAAAGGTCACACAGCTAGTAAGTGCCAAGCATTTGAGGGTGGATTTGAATTCAGCTCCTCCTGACTCCAGAGTTGGTGCTCTATCCACTACACCACCTAGCAGAGGTGTTTTTCAAAATTCCTATCAATCACCTTCAGGCTGAAACTTAGAGAAAGAGTTCCATTGGGTGAGATTCTAGGATTTATTGAGTGAAGTCAGAGGTATTATTTCCCCTTCCCTGTTACCTAGCGGGACCAAGCCATCCTCCCAAGCGTATGTGTTACACAACACTATGAGATAGAAGTTATTCAACTTAGCTGCCCCACTGCAAATCTGCAGCCGGCATCCCCCTGAGGCTATCCGAAACTCCAGTTTGCTTCTCTAATTTTGTTGTTGTTGTTGTTGTTGTTGTTGTTGTTGTTGTTGTTTGCTTGCTTATTTTGTTTTTGTATCGTTTTGCTTTGTAGAAGGCCGTCAATTCATTTCAGAGGAGAGCCGAAGGAAAGATCTCTACAACAAACTACAGCTGGGTAAGAGAAACAGAAACAGAGAAGCCAGATGCTTTGAGCTGGAAGGGAGACAGAGATTATTTTGTCTGATTATTAGATAATTCAATAATTTAAAACTCACTTTAGAGTCTAATGTCTGGAGAAGTTACATTGTTGTGGTGTAAGAGGCTGAGAGGTTGTGACCCCTCAAAGACCAAAGTACAGGATGGGTCATCTGGAATGAATTCACAGACTCAAGCATTCTTTAATTCAAGGTGGCAAAGATTTATTGTTATGCTTCTCAGCGGGCAAGGATTCTTAAGGATTCCTGGGAGAGACTGAGAATGCAGCTAGGGTTGATATGGAAAAGAGCATGGGAAAGAAATGCCAGGGACACTGATGAGGTCATCTAAAGGTCCAGGTGTCTTTGGGACCTATGGATGAGAAAGTACAGGGAATATACCAGACAGGGAGGGAGATGACAGAGGGATGGATCTTTGGAGTGTGGCAGGAGGAAAAGTCCTTGGGCTGGCCAAGGACAAAACTCCTTGGGCTGGGCAAGGCACCCCTCTCCCTCTGTCTTGATGAGAGAATGCTCTGCAACAAGGGAAAGCTTTCTCACAAGACAGGAACTTACTAAATTGGGAGGCTTCCAGAGACATGATCTGAGGGCTGGGGCCTGAGCAGCCCAGCTCTGTGTAGCTGTACCAGGGAGAGAGATAAGGGTCGTGCTGAGGCCCATGCATGAATAACTGCTAGGCACGGTGTCCTTGGGCTGGGTAGTGGTTGTCAGAGACAGTGTTTCTGAGACTAGGGAGAAATTGAGGTACAAGTACCAGCACAAGCACCCAAGCACCCCGTCAACATGACTTGCCCACGATCACACAGCAGTCCTTAGAACAAAGTTCCCATGACTCTAAATCCAGTGCTCTTTCCATTTCATCCTGGGAAGGGGGAGTGTGCTTTGCTATGATTCATTGCGTCATAAAATGTTAGAGTAGAGAAAGAACTTTTGAAACAGGTAGTCCAATTACTTCATTTCCAGATTAAAAAAAAACTGATGCTGAGAAGTCAAGGTAATTTAACAAAATAAATGTAGAGTTGGGATTAGAATTTTGTGTCTATTGACTCACATGTGCTGGGGCTTTCCATTGTTCCTTTCAGTCAACTGACATTTATGAAGCACCTACTGCATGCAAGGCACTGTGCTAAGAATTATATCAAGGAAAAGAGATAGATTTCATGCCGGAGCAGAGACAAGTTAGCCCTGTGCTCAAGTGGGACATTTTTCTTGTGATTACTACTGTTCTTACCAACAACAAAACAGCTTGCTCTCTGTTCAACTGCAATCACAAAGGGGAGCAATTAGGGATGAAGGTCAGGCAGGGTTTACAATTTCACCACTGCAGTCTGTGCCAAAATCAACAGGCAGAAAAGTGAAATACATGGGCAACCAAAAGCAGATGTGTTTAAAAAAGTAGGAGGAGGAGTGGTCTTAGACTTTTAGGGAAAAATGACACTCAGTTACTTCATTAGAATAACCTTTGTTTAAATTTCACCCTTCAAAGTCTAGATGTACTCTAATTCCTCTGCATTTAAAAAGATTGATTCTGAGCATAAGATTTAAGTGTCAGCATATTTATAATGAGATGAAGGTGGCATAGTAACTAGAAAGCCAGTGCTGCAGTCAGGAAGACTTGGTCTGTAGTCCTTCCCCTGATATGTGTTGGCTACATGATCTCAGGCAAGTCATTTAAACTTTCAGGGCCCCGCTGGTAGATTGTTAAGTTTCAGAACAGGTGCTGATCCATACTGGTGGGAAGGAGTTGATTCACTGGATGTTTTCTACACTAATGAAATTGACAGGACTATATGTGTGTGTGTGTGTATGTATCTATACCTATATACACGTGTATATTTATGTGTATATATACACATGTATATTATACATGTGTATGCATGTATATATTTATATTCTTTGTTATATAATACATGCATGCTTTGTGTATTTGTGTATCTGTATGTATGTATTATATAACAAAGAATATAAATATATACATGCATACACATGTGTATTATACATGTGTATGCATGTATATATTTATGTTCTTTGTTATATAATACATGCATGCTTTGTGTATTTGTGTATCTGTATGTATGTATGAAAGTGTCAATCAAGAAACACTTATGAAGCTAATGCTATGTGTCTGGGACTGAGAAGTGTTGGGTATATTATGCAAAAATTAAATAAGCCCTGTCTTTAAGGAACTTACATTCTTGTGGAGTCAGATGCTATCTATATTGTAAGTATATAACAGAATAAATACAAGGTAACCATTTTAGTGGAAGGTACTAGCAGCTAAGGTAGGTCAGGAAAGCTTTCAGGTAGGTGTCCCTTGAGCAAAGTTTTGAATGAAAGGAGAGACTCTAAGATGTACAAAGGTGCCTCTTAGGCATTCCAGGCATGAGAGAGAGCTAGTGGCAGAGTAAAGTACAGTAAGACTGGAAAGGCAGATTGTATAGGACTTTGAAAAGTAAACAAAGGAGTTCATATTTGATCCCAGAGACATTACACAACCATTTCAGGAAGAGAAAAGTATGTTTGGATAGGAGGAGAGAAGAAAAGTTGACTAACCTTGACCCTACTATAATTGGGCTGCCATTTCTTTCATTTCAGATGCATGTCTACTTCCTCTCCCAATTTTCATGCTTAAGATAATTTTTTAAAAAGCATCCCATGGCTAGTATTAAATTATGGGGCTTTTTTTTTTTAAAGGCACACCTACCTCCACTTCTGCAAAGAAAAAATAATCACCAAGTGTCCTATGTAGTCCTCAAATATTGTAGAAGAGCAAGAATTGTAGCACACATGCTGTTATTGCTGTTCTTGGTACATCCTTATCAGAACTGTAGCTAGGGCAGGACAGCTAGGAGGTTGCCAAATTTCAAAGGAAGTAAGCATTTACACCAGGTGAACTCTCCTGTCCCAGGTTTTGTGTCTTCCCAACACTACTCCAAAGTTGATCAGACTGTAAGTTTTAGAGCTACTTGCTCCAGGCACCAATATTGCTAGTTACAACTTTGATCACTGCTACATTGTTGTCTGCAAATGTTCTTGTTACTCTGAAAAACTAGTGATCTTGGAATTACTTAGTATGGAGAAAATATTAGCTTACTGAATGCCTGCCAGTGAGTACAGGACATGTCACAGTACTGAGAGTGTATGGAAAGTATCCAATATGCTTCTCTTGAATGAGATTAATCTGACAGCAAACCATTTTGTGATTTTTTTATTGTTATATAATTTTTTAAGGAGGCAATCAGGGTTAAGTGACTTGCCTAGGGTCACACAGCTAGTAAATGTATGAAGAGTTATCACATTCATGCTGAGTTGGTGAAGTTTCCATTGATCCAGGACTGAAAAGCATGTAAAGAAAAGACAGAGGGCAATCTCCAAAGCGTGATCATATCTACAGCATCCTAATCACATAGACAGGAAAGGCTAGGACCTGTACTTTCATCTAAGACTGACTCTCTCCAGTATGCCACATTGCCTCTCTAAATTTTCACAATGCAAAAGTAGTGTAAGTTATATTACTTTATAAATTATTTCCAAGGAAGTGTCTAAAATTTTAATAAATCATAGATTTAGGCCTGGAAGGACCCCTAGAGGCCACCAAGGCCAACTCCTCCCATTTTGTAGTGGGGGCAGTTAAATGGCAACTTGCCAAGAATCACACAGTAAATGTCAGAGGCAGGATTTGAACTCCTGTCTCTCTGGCTCCAGGTCCAGAACTCTATCCACTGCAGCCACCTTGCAACTCAAAATTCAGTATATTGAATAAAATAAGGGGGCCACCAGCTGGGCCTTCAAAATCTTTATTTTATATAGACTTTGCTTTTCACTGTATTTATTAGATCAATCTAGACATGAGAAAGCTAGGTGGTGCAGTGCATAAAGCACTAGGCCTGGAATCAGGAAGACCTGAGTTCAAATCTGGCCTCAGATACTTACCAGCTGTGTGACCCTGGGCAAATCACTTAACTCTGTTTGCCTCAATTTCCCCATCTTCAAAGTAGGAATTGTAATTGCACCTGACTCCCAAGGTTCTTGTAAGGATCAAGTGAGATGCTCATTGTTAAGCATAGTAAGCACTATATAAGCATTTATTATTATTATTATGTGATGAGAGCATTTGTTTACATTTTATTTCTCCAGAAAAGCGCAGCCAAAGCCTAAACCCAAAACCTATTTCTGAAGCTGTCACCATGTTCTTTGAGTTCCTGCAGAAACCACCAGAAGAAGGTAGATATGTAATGAACCCTTTCAAGTCAGACAACAGAATTTTGTATACTCTCCTGGAGACCATTTTGAATATAACAAAGTATATTTGTTTTGAACTTCCTTAATTCTTTACTTTTTATAGTTATAGCCCCAGAAATTCACAGCAATGTTTGTTGTGAAGAAGCCAGAATACTGAAATTATAATAATCCCTCAAAACAAACAAACAAAACAAAACAAAAAAATTCCTTAGATTGTGCAATTTAATATGAATTTCACAATTTAACACCCACTAGGGCTTCTGTTACTTCAAAAAAGTTTTTATCTCCCTTTCAGAAACTGAAGTGATAACTTATATGGGGTTGGGAGGGGAGAAGCCCCTCTCTCTTAATGTACCAGTAAAGATAATGATTCAGTTCCACAAAGATGAGCAAATATAAAGATTAGCCAAAGCTAATTTTATATCAGAAGAATGAGACACAGTCAGGCACAGTAGAAAGAGTTTGGGATTTGTAATCTGGGGACCTGGGTTCAAAAGATGACTTTGTCACTTTAGTAGTTGTGGGACCTTAGGCAAGACATTTAATTTCACTAGGCCTCAGTTTCCTTATCTATAAAATGAGAGGCTTAGTAGATGTCTACTATGGTCTGGTAACTACAACATATTTACATCATGTCTTGAATCTGAAAACTAGTGAAAATGTAGTATGGGAAACAGGAAAATTTTGCTAATGAGCCACTGCTACAGACCTACCCTGATTCAGGGTGGTTCAGTGGATAAGAAACTGGACTTGGAGTAAGGAAGACCTGTGTTCAAATCCTGCTCCAGACACTTACTACCTGTGTAACCCTGGGTAAGTCTCAACCTTCCTATGCCTCCATTTCTTCATCTGTAAAAAGAGGTAAATATATTCATAATAATGGCTTTTAAAGTCCTTGCTAACTCTAGGCCTATGATTCCCTCTGAACTTCAAGAAGTTTATTGTAAGCACTTCTTAGGTCTGCTGGTCATGATTGGGGATGTAACAAAAAAAAAAAGTCATAAAAATAATAACAGCTCAAAGTTCTATAGGATTTTATGATCAGCAAAGCACTTCCTTACCAAAGACCTTACTGTGGGTGTCAAGTTTAAGGCTGCACTAAGACTTTTGGGACATCCTGTCTTAGTTTCCCTGTTTCATAGATGAGAAGCTGATGCTCACATAGTCACAGTCAGGACTGATCTACAATCAATGTGAGTAATAAGTAGAAGAATTCTAGCATTTTTCCCCCTCATGTAATGCCAACTGTTGCTGGACAAGGCATACAAACACACACATGCACACACTTTTTTTTAAAGAAAATGTTTTATTTAAAGTGTTAATTACCATTACCATGTAATGTAATGATTTACATTACTTGGTGTTCAATACAGGCCTAATCTGCCCTTTTGTTCCAACTGGGATTCCCTTTATGTTTAAAGCATATTATGTGCAGGACAACAACGGTCACTGGACTAGTCCTTTTTACATGATTAAATCATAGGTACAATAGTAGGCATGAAAATTTTTAAAAATATATCAACTTTTAAATAAATACTGCATAATGACAACTATGTGCAAATATTTCATATGGTTATGTCCTTCTTATTAAAATTAGAAATAATTTATATAGGAATATGCACAAAAGATTACTTCACCATATCTCAGTATCAGGAAAATGGTAACAGGTTTTTTTTTAAAATTCTAATAAATATTATGGGCTTAATATCTCTTTTATCAATTGTTGCTGGTACATAGGCATCTAAATTATTTCAATATACATAGGTTAATTGGTTTCTTCAACAACTTAGTATCAATCCATTGTACATCTCAGAATGTCAAGACATAGTCTTGGTGAATTTCATATTGCAGCACATAAAGAAGACATTTTTAGTGATACTCCTTGTAATTTCTGTACCCTATCAGGAATGACTTTTTTCTAAAAGGGCAGCATTAGATTATTTTTTGTGCATTAGATTTTTGAGCAAACAAAAAATCCAATAACTCTGTGTGCATGGCCTTAATTTAAAGGTAAATGAATGTTGCATAGACTTCCAAGAATGTTGCAAGGTATTTTGATTTATCTGTATGTATCTTATGGACTCAGAACAGATGGGCTTTTAGATGTTAGTTAAGTCCTATTTCCTTTAAACAGGAGATTAATCACAAGTTTGAACTTGCAGCAGCATGCCCCTCTTCTTCCTTATCATGTTAATAATTGCTGCTAAAATTGAAATCAAGGCTTTTGATTACCTAGGATTTTGCTTTGAGACATTTGGTGATGGCATCAATGAACACGTAAACACATTCAACTTTCTTCAGAACAATTAGAAAATATACATGAAGTTTTTTCTGACATTATCCCAGCAGTTTTTTGTGTACCATGAAGTTTTCTTCAGAAGTATACATAAAGAATTGAATTTTATAGAACAAAAATAAATAAGTAATCTTTTTTTTAGTTTGTTAAGATTGTTTAGCACTGCATGACTATTCAGAATAAGTGGAAACAGTAAAATAAATTAATTTTTCATTTAAAAATATTAAGATCTTCTAGAAATAATACTTCAGTCCTTGAATGAAAGATGCTGGTGTTGAAAACATTTATTAAAGATATCACACAATGGCCACATGACTCCACTGACATTTTACTTGTAGTTCTTTGATATTTAGAAACACTTTACTTAAATTATTTCCCTTCATCCTTACAACAACTCTGTGAGGTAGGAATTATATGTATTAATATTTCTTGAGGAATCTGACCTGCCCATTGTTACACAACTAGAAAGTGTTGATCGTATATCAGATTGCTTACTGTCTCAGGGAGGGAGGAAAAGAAGGAGAGAGGGAGGGATAGAGTTTAGAATTCAAAACTTAAAAAAAGCAAATGTCAAAAATGGTTTTAACATGTGATTGGGAGAAAAATAAAATATTATTCTAAAAAAGAAAGCATTAAAAAGAAAGTATTGGTTGGAAGTAGGTTTTGAACCTAGATATCTCCTGACTTGAAGTCCTACACTCTTTCCACTATCCCATATGGCTTCATAATAAAATTTTCAAAAGTATTGTTATGGCATACGTATGTAAAATACTAATGATTTAAAACAATCAATAAGGAAGCATGAAAAATGTGTGGTACGGATTATTTTGAAGTGCTTTGGTTATTGAGAATGAGAAAACAATCATTGTGGACTGAGAGTAATTTTTGTAAAGGAAGTGGATCTTGAGCTGGACCTTGAAAGAAGAGGGCAGGATCCATTCTTTGTATAAGAAACAGAATGAGGAGGAATGATACCTGCAACGGAAGAGGGGCAGTGATGGTGGAAGGTGAGAGAGGTAAGGTCAACTAGTCTATCTGGCATGAGAATCCATCTCCAAATATCAGGAGAGAGGATTAGACAAACAAGGTGGAGAGAATTGCTGGGAGGCCTTAAGCAACATGGTGATAAGTTGTACTTGATCTGATAAGCACTAAACTATTTTAATTTACTAGCAGGACGCTGGTATCACAGGATCTGAGGTCTAGATCTGGAAGGGACCTTAAAGACTTTCTAGTCCAACTTCCTTGTTATGCAGATGGAGAAACTGAGGCCCAGGAAGATTAAGGGATTTGCCCAAGATCACACAGGCACTAAATGTTAGAATTGGGGCTGACTCCAAAGCCAAGACTTTTCCTACTGTACTTCACTGCAGTGTTTTAGGAAGATTAATATGGCAAGAGTATGAAGAGTAAATTAGATAGAGCAGTAAGTGGGGAGAATCAGGATAAAACATGATTGAAGTTACGCCCTGTGTATTACTGTCCACCATGGGCTTGGGGGCTTTACTGAAACCCAAAAAACTAGACTTTTTTAAAAAATCTACTTAAAAGCCCATAGAGAAATGAATTTTCTGGCGTTGAAAGCATGTGCACTAATAAAAAGTGATACTAAAAAGTCTACCTTATTGTGTCCCCAAGAATGCCATACCTTAGACTATGCCAGAGAGGAAATAGGACAGGAGGATATTGGACTAATGCACATATGAGTTGATTGTCCAGCCTAAGATGAGGACGAGGTGTAGAGATAACTCGGGAGAGTTCATGAAGGTGACTGACTGGATATACAGGATGAAGGAGAGAAGAGCCAAGTATAACTCAAACATTTGAGTGAAGGAAAAGGGAGTGATACTATCACTAGAAAATGAAAACCAATTTAGAGAGAAAGCCAAGTTCAGTTTGCAGTGATAGCAGGATATGAGCAGAACTGTGCTGTAGGATGGATGAGAAGTCAGAGCTGAGATTTAAACTTGCGAGTCCTTAATAGAAAAGTAATTATTGAAGCCTTAGAAATAGCTGATCTCCTCTAGGGAGAGTTTAGTGGGGAAAAAGAAAAGGCCAGAAAGAACACTGTAAGCCCATGAAGGAAACAGAGGAAGCTGGAGAATTGAGAAAGAGAACAGCATCCCAGAACCCAAGAGGGGAAAAGACAAAGAAGAAGGAGAAAGTGACCAACAGAATGAAATTCACAGAAAGGTCAAGGTGGATAAATATTTATGGAAAAAAAATTTCTTTTTTAATGTCTTGTGTTTTAGAAGGAGGAGATAAAACAAAAAGAATCTGGGGACAAAGAACCTTAGACCCAGATAATATTCCCTTGATGATTGTACTGGGTTTTAAAAAAAACTTTTATAATTTTGTTTTACTATTGTCTTACAGCTAGAGAGATAAACCTTCATCAATCAAGATTCTTGGAAGATCATCTATTAAACTGAAGAAAATGATCCAAGTCACAGAAAATTTTCCTTAAATTTCTGTTGAAGCCATTGTTTATGTGAATAAAAAACATGGTCTACACATGGTCTGTGTTCTGAAGGAATATATATATATATATATATATATATACATATATATATATAAAATGTAATCTCAGTTTAAATCTTTTTATGGATAATTATTGAAAAATCTTTTTAGTGGAGAACATTACTGCTTTTTTCTTTATTATCTGTTTCATTTCGATCACACTGTATCACACTTTAAATTTGTCATAGCATTTTAACATTAAAAGCTCAAATATGTTCTAAGTGGTCCTTCTTGTAACTAGCAGACATCTTGATAAATGAGTATTAAATTTTTTTCATGGTACTACTCACTACTATTTTATCTCTAACCTGTTTGATAGTGGCAATTAACTAATGATGCTACATCCTGATGGTAGCATATGCTACGTTTATGCTAGTATAAAGGGAGGCATAATTTCTATGATGTGAGTAGATATCTATCAATTGCATTTTTTCAATTTAATTTAAAAGTAAGTTTCAATGGAATATGGATCAACCCCAGCTATCCACAATTATAACAAGGTTAATGCATCAAATGTTTTCCGCGGGGGGGGGGGAGTAGAGAAGGAGTGGAGATGGGATCAAGCCTGTTAGAGCGAACTTTCTCTGACCATACAGATCATCACCAGCTCTGGAACTTAGAGTCTTAGAAATTGCCTGGAAAATCTGAGAAGTCTACTGACTGGTCTATGGTTATACCATCTTACACAGCCAGCATGTGTCTGAGGTAGAACTTGAAGCAATCTCTTCCTGATTCTGAGGTCAGTTCTCTATACACCACCACTCTCATATTTTATGGAGGGAAAAAGAGTAATAAAGACAGGTACACTAATACACTGTTTATGGAACTTTGAATGGATCCAGATGCTTTAGTGAACAATTTTAAAAGCAGTTGAAGGAACTGGGGATGTTACTTGCTGGACCAGGAGTCAGATGAGATCTGAATTCAAATACTGAATCTGACACTTACTAGTTCTATGACCATGAACCTCAGTTTACTTATCACTAAAATGAGAATAACTTATAGAAATGATGATGAAGATGATGATGACAGTCATCCCACTTCTAGTGATAAGAATGGTCCCCATTAGAATGAGAGATTTAATACTCCTCATTAAAAATAGGTAGAAGAAGTAGAGTTTGTTCTACCTGTCTAGTAGGTTACTTGGGAAATCATCCTAATTATAGCAATCACCTCCTCTTCATTTGGCACATGTCATAGTCTAGGGTTTTGAGAATATCAAAGAATCATTCACATATAATATTTCATAAATCTATCACAATTTCAGCTCATGTCTCACTCCCTTACCCTGGAGTTCAATCCATGGAAACTTCTAAATGAAGCTTGTGGCTCATTTCATCTTTGTGTGAGAAAGAGGCATTCATGCTTATGTTATAATTAGGTACATTTGTTGCAAGAAGTAGTAAGGTAATAGAACACCATGTTGAGACATCCCAAATGGTGGTTTGCTACTCTAGTTAAAAAAAAAAAGCTCACCTGTCTCCTTGTTAGGCCCTGTGCTACCTTCTGTTAAGGCCTGGAGTCCTATACACAGTCTAATCAAAAAAAGCACTACTCCCATATCTCTAGACACCTATAATCAGGTAAGTCCAACCATTTTTACTAAGGAAAAGCTACCATGTTTTCAGTCAGCATGTTAGAGAGAAAAGAGGATCTCTGCCATCTACCATCTATAACAGCTTCTGCATCAAAGGGGGTGGGTAGCTCAACACTGCTTCCTTCTCTGGTTGGTCTCAAATAGGTCTTTAGCCAGCCATGCAAGAGGTCATAACCTCAAAACCCCAGCCCCTCACATACCCACTGAGAGAAGGATAGAGTGGGCTACTCATAGGCTGCCATGTGGCATTTAAAGATGGCTGTCTCCAGGTGGTCCTGTGCAGCTATCTTCTCCAGTGTTTCCCAGCAGGTAGACCAGTGAGCAATCTAAAAGTTCTGCTCTCAGTATGAAAGATCACAACATTTTGTCAATTTTTTAGATCTGGGAACATCTATGCTCTTGGATTTGTCCAGGAAGTGTGCAATCCTGGATTGAAATGAGAGAAAGGTGAAATTCTATCTGAGCAGTCTTGTAATCCCTTATAATCCTTTCCTCCTTGGTTGTTGTCCTCCATTCTCAAAGAGAATGACATCACCATACTAGAGTCAAGTTTCAGTATGTCTGACTGTGGCTGATCAGACCAATATGAGCTCAGAATGTTCTATCAAAGGTCAGACACAAATAGCCCATGTGAACATTTAGGGTGGTTTCTCTAAATTTGTACATCTCAAGTTTCTTTTGAGCTACTTTAATTCTGCTTTGCTCATAGAGCACAGCTCCTTCTCTGATGAGGGCATGCCATGTTGAACAATGCCAGTGTCTCCCATGTCACATAATCAATTCCAAAGTTCTTCAGACACACCTTGAGAGTGTCCTTGTATCACTTCTTCTGACCACCATGTGAACACTTGCCCTGTGTGAGTTCTCCATAAAATAGTCTTTTTGGCAAGTGTATGTTTTGCATTTGAACAACATGGCCAGCCTATCAGAGTTGTGCTCTCTGAAATAGAGTTTGAATGCTTGGCAGTTCAGTTTGAGAAAGGACCTCAGTGTCTGGTATCTTATCCTGCCAGGTGATCTTCAGAATCTTCCTAAGATAATTCAAATGGAAGTGATTCAGTTTCCTGGCATGGTGTTGGTATACTGTCCAGGTTTCACAGGCCTACAACAATGAGGTCAGAATAACAGGTCTGCAGACCTTCAGTGTGGTAGTCAGCCTAATACCTCTTCTCTCCCACACTTTCCTTCGTTGTCTCCCAAACACTAAGCTAGCTCTAGCAATGCATGCATCAATCTAATTATCAATGTGTACATCCCTGGAAAGTACACTACCAAAGTAAGTGAACTTATCCACAGCATTCAAACCTTCTCCATTTGCTGTAATCAATGGTTCCACCAATGGATGGTGTGGTGGTGGCTGATGGAGCACCTGTGTTTTCTTGGTGTTAATTGTTAGGCCAAAATTAGCCCAAGCAGCAGAGAATCAATCCATACTTTATTGCATATCAGCTTCAGAGGCTGCATTGACTGCACAATCGTCCGCATACAGAAAATCATGCACCAACACTCACTGTACTTTGGTCTTAGCTTGTAGCTTTTCGAGTTGAAGAAGTTACCATCAGTGCGGAGGTGACCTTGATGCCGTGTTCATCCTCATTGAAAGCATTTGACAACATGGCTGAAAACATCATGCTTAAAAGCACAGGAGGAAGTACACAGCCTTGTTTCACTTCATTGGTGACTGGGAAAGCACAAGAGCACTGTCCATTATCCAGAACCTGGCAAGCATGCCGTCATGAAATTGATATACAATGCTGATGAACTTCTCCTGGCAACCAAATTTTGATGTAATTTTCCATAAGCCCTCATCACTGACAGTATCAAAGGCCTTGATCAGATCTACAAACATTGTGTACAGACTTGGCATTTCTCCTGGAGTTGTTGGGCAGCAGACACCATATTTACCCTTCTTCAGCCCTTTCTGAAGCCACACTGGCTCTCAGGTAGATGACCATTTTCCAGGTGAAGGATCAGCCTATTAAGGAGGACTCTGACAAGAATCTTTCCAGAAATGACTAAGAGAAAATTCCCCCCCCCCATGATTGTCAGAGGATAATCTTTATAGAGATGGACAATGGAGGCATCCTTGAACTCCTGAGGGATAATCTCTTGCCATGTAACCTAGAAAATTTCAGTCAGCTTTTGTATAAGCAAAGGATCCCTACCTTGTAAATCTCAGCTGGAACAGAATCAGCACCAGGTGCTTTGCCACGCAAAAGGAACCTAATGGTATTCTAAACCTCTTCTGCAGCTAGGGAGGGATTGATTTCAACCTGAGGTAAACATGAATGGCTTCAGCATTGATTGATGAATGAATGGTCTGTTGAGAAGACTATGGAAGTGTTCAGCCCATCTCTCTAGGATCATGTCGTTATCACTAATCAATGTGGCTTCATCAGCACTGACTAGTTGAGATGCACCATAGGTCTTTGGCCCATAAATAGCTTCAAGGCATCATAAAAGTGCTTTGGATTGTTACTATCAGCATAAAACTGCATTTTATCTGCCTTCTTACTGAGCCAAGAATCCTGCATCTCTCTAAGCTTTTCTTGTGCTTTACTTTTGATGGAATTAAATGTTGCCTTCTTAGACATGGATGAACTATCCTGCTGGTAAACCCTTTGTAGTTCTCATTTTTCATTTAACATCTTCTGAATTTCCCTATCATTTTCATCAAACCAGTTTTGATGTTTGTGAGTGTTCTGACCCAGGTGAGCAAATGCAGTGCTATACACCAAATCTCTGAAAGCTGCCCACTCCTTTTCTGCTCCATTGTTGCCAACCGTGTGTTGGCTCAACTTTCCCTCCAAGTTAGCAACAAACTGTTTCCTCTCAGAAAAGAGCTCTAATCTGTTGACATTAATTCTTCTGGTAGTCATTTTGCCTTGGGACCTCTGCTTTTGTTGAATGTGAACATTTAGCTTGGAGAGAATAAATCTGTGATCAGTCCAGCACTCTGTACCACACATTACCTTGGTCACTCTCACATGCTGTCTGTCTCTTCCCCTTACAGTGACATAGTCTATTAAATGCCAATTTTTGCTGCAAGGGTACATCCATGAAGTTTTATTGCATTTAGGTAAACAGAAGACAATGTTGATGATGAGGTCATGAGATGCACAAGTCTTCAGTAGTAAGTGACCATTCCTGTTGCTGTTTTCACTCCCTGCCAAATATGATAGTCTGAGCCTATTTTAGTATTAAAGCCCCCGAGAATTATAAACCTGTCCTCTTTTGGCACATTAATGGTAAGAGTCTCCAGGTCTTTATAAAATTTTTTCTTTGACCTCATCAGGGTTTGTCATAAACACAGGGAGTGTAGGCACTGATTATGATGGCATGGCATTTCCTGCAATTGGTAATCACATTGTCATGAGTCTGTCATTTACTCCTTTTTGGTAGACATATAAGCTTGTTGACTAGATTAGTTTTGATTGCAAAACCTACACCAGCTTCACTTTATGGTGCTCCCCTTGACTATGGCCATTCTAGAAAATATGTATCCAGCTCCAGCTTCAGTAAGATGGCCTTCATTTGCCAGCCTTGCTTCACTCGGGGCTCTATTTGGATGCAATACCTGCTGAGTTCTCTTGCAACAAGAGCTGTTCATCTTTCAGGTGTACCGGATTTTGTGTTGTCTATAAGTGTGCACACCTTCCATGTGCTGATGGTGAGTGGAATCATCTTTGCAGATGTTTTTATACTTTTTTTGTGTGTTTCAACCAAAGGGTGGGATCCCCACCTGGTACAGTAGTGAGGCCAGGGTTGGGTAAGCAGACAATTTTTTAGGACACCTTTTCTAACCCATTCCTCACACCAGGAGGTGAACAGTGTGATCCATAAAAGGCTGCTCAGACACCCAGGGGGCTGCCGAATCCCACTGCTGCTTCCAGTGAGAAGATGACCCTGGCCTGGACCACCCTTGTGCAGGGTTGTGACTACAGCTCCCAGTGTATCCCTACCTTCTGCTTTGTCACTTACCTGTCACCATAGGACTTTGAGGTAGGTAAAAATGGTAAAATGGTATGGGTGATGGCTTTTGATTTGTGTGTAAATTGGATTTAAGTGAGTCAGAGTCATCACAGTCCTGTGACAAGACAGAATCAAGACAACTGGTGATGGCTTGAGAGGCAATGGATGACCTTGGCATTTTTGATGTCTAGCCAAGTGTCAAATGCTCCACAGCGCCTATTTCAGCTGCCTTCATGGCCATTGGAACAGATTGTTCTCATCTGCCCATTCTACCAAGGGAAGTCTTCACATGCATGGGGTAGACACCCCCTTAACTCACCAACTGGTTTGAGACCCCTTGGTCCTCAACCTAGTTTAGCCTTGTCTGCCAAAACAGTTTACCAGGGTGTGACCACTCTGTATGCTACAGCTTCTTGGAGCCACATGTGAGAATTAGATGGAACAAGTGGACACCCAGGGTGGAAAGCAGCCCTGGAAAGGGCTCAGCAGCCTTCTTGACAGAGGTACTAATCTTCCCTGAGCACCCTACACCCTTCTTACACCCACTTCCTCCTCAGGAAGATTCTGAAGGTCACCTGGCAGGATAAGATACCAGACACTGAGGTCCTTTCTCCAGCTAAACTGCCAAGCATTCTAACTCTACTACAGAGAGCACAACTCCAATGAGCTAGACATGTTGTTCGAAAGCAAATGTGCACTTGCCTAAAAGAATCTTTTACAGAAAGTTCACACAAGGCAAGTGCTCACGTGGTGGTCAGAAGGATACTAGGACAATCTCAAGGTCTCTTTGGAATTGATTACGTGATGTGGGAGACACTGACACAGGACCACCCAGCATGACCTACCCTCATCAAAGAAGGTGCTGTGCTCTATGGGCCAAACAGAATTGAAGTAGCTCAAAAGAAACTTGAGATATGCAAATTTAGAGAATCCTCTCCAAATATTCCCATGGATTATTTGTGCCTGATCTGTGGTAAAGCATTCCAAGGTCCAACTGGTCTGATCAGCCACAGTCAGACATCCTGTAATGGACACATTCTAACTTGACTCTAACATTATGATATCATTTTGGTCCTCTTCCAGAGCAAAAGACAGTAACCAACCAACTACCTCTCAGGAATGTTGTGGTGCTGTTGGATAGAGAACTAGACCTAGAGTTAGGAAACCTGAGTTCAAATCTGACCTCAGGCACTACTACTAGCTTTGTGACCCTTCATTAAGTCACTTAACCTCTGTCGGACTGAGTTTCTTCATCTGTAAAATTGAGACAATAATAATACTTACCTCCCAGAGTTGTTGTGAGGATAAAATTATAATATTTGTAAAGCATTTTGCAAGCCTTAAAGCCCTATATAAGTACTATTATTATTACTAATGATGAGTCTGTAAATGTGAGGTCAATGAGTAAATCAATCAAATAAGCCCACTCCACATAAAGTAACAACAACAACAATCATAGCTAGAATTTGTGTAGCATTTTAAGGTTTTCAAAGTACTGTACATAGGGGCAGCTAGGTGGTGCAGTGGATATGATGCAGTTTAGGGGTTCAGGGGTCCTGGGACCCCAAAATCACAGTTCATGGGTCCTGCCTGAAAAAGTTTGACCCAAGCCTTCTTTTAGCCAAAGACAAGGTTTATTAGAACATCCATCATATTAGGCAGACTCTTAAGGAGTCTGAACATGGGTAAGCAGTAACTAGATTATAAGAATTCCAGCAGTGGCTAGGTTTTAGGAATCTGAGCAGTGGCCAGATTTTAAGAATCTCAGCATCTTAATGGAGACAAGGTGGACCTCATATACAGAAAGACTGTGGGGGGGACCTAGGAATGGCCAGTAAGCTGGGGTGAACAGAACTCCTGGGACCTGGACCTTGTGGCCAACGGAGCCTAGCTAGGATTAAGGGTGGGAAATGGCCTGGGGCCATAGGGAGGGCAAGACAATGGAAGGGAGATTGGGTGTAGCTACAATGAAAAGCCACTTGGTGGGATTATAGCCTCAGGCAAACGTCAGAGTTTTGGCCACTCGGGAAAATCCAGGTTTTTCATTTTCTGCCCAGGTCCCAACCCCATCAGATAGAGCATCAGCCTTGGACTCAGGAGGACCTGGGTTCAAATCCAGCCTCAGACACAAAACACTGACTAGCTGTGTGACCCTGGGCAAGTCACTTAACCCCATTGCCTAGCCAAAAAAAAAAAGTATTGTACATGAAATGCTACTATGCTACCTTACCTTGGTAGGAATAACCCTCCATTATATTGAATAAAATCAATCACAGGTATTACAACTACATGTGAAAAGGCTTTGATTGATTTGTATATTTCTGTTGAACCCTGAAATGAATTGTAGAAACATTATAAAGGAAGACTGTTCAGACTGGCTCAGGAAATTTGGTCACACCCCAAGGGTTTTCTAAAACAAAATAACATACCAGTGCAAAACCAGGTTAAATAGATTACTTCATGCTGTAAATAAGGAGAGAATACTCCAGCTAAGGCCCTGAGGAGTTGGTTGGCTGGGAGGAGAGCAGTCTGGATTGCTCTTGATCTCCTCTAGCAAGGCCTTAGGATTTTGGGCCTCCCATCTTTCCATCAGTGTTCCAACATCACCCCACCAGGGACAACAGCATCTGGGAGCAGTGTCTTGACAGGAAAGTTAATTTTAATATTGCTAATATCAAATGCAATATTCCTTTCTCTGTTTCAAAAACCCATCTTGGCAGTTAAGAGAAGCCCCTCAGTCTAAAGAATGTCATTTGCATTCCTGCTCCTAAGGTACTATAATACTCTCAATTAGGTTGGCCTGAATTCCACCCTGGAATTCTGGGCTCTGTTTATCCTGTAAATAGAAACTAAGTTGGACTAGTCACAGCTACAGAAAGTAACTCCAAGTAACCTTACCCCCACATTAAAGTTTGAGTCAAATTGGATCATGAAAGGTAATAACAAACAGAATGAAGTGGGTTTTCTTGTTTGGATTGCCAAGGGTGGCTGGTCTTGCTCCTCATATGCCTCACCTTTTTTCTTTCTGAATGTTTAAACCTTTCTGTTCCCTTGTGAACACCCCTGTATTCAGATTCATGGCAGTATCCTAGGCTCATGACCCTCTTTATCGAGATTAAAGATGACTAGCAGAGTGCTTGACATATGTATAGTAGGTGGTTTAGCCATGGCAATGACCATAGTGGTGACAGCCACAGTTCTATCCTGTCTCCATCCCAGCCTGGGGCTGTGGGAATGATGGAACACAAGGAAGAACCAATGATGGCAGCAGGGTGAGGGGGGCACTCTATCATAAATCTGTCTGACAGATGATAAAGCACACACTGAAGGAGACTTCACCTCTTCAACAATGAGGTTCGTGGTGGGCAAAGGAATGTGCCCATGGCTTTGCCATTTATCTTACTGTTATGTCTTCCACACTCCCAGGTATTACCATCCCATTTTCTGTTTCACTCTCCAGACTTCCACTCTCCAGCTTTACCATCCATTCTGCTGCCTAGCTGCCCCCCTGAAAATTAATTCTTCAGGACCAAAGATGGCTATTTCCTTGTAGATTATGAGCCTCTGAGTCATACCAGCTAAAAAGAGAGAGTCTTTTCTTATGTAGGGAATGACAACCTTCATATATACCCTAAGAAGAGTCCAAGTTCCTTGAGAACAACATTTTTGTATTTATGTCCCCAGTGTCTAACCCAGTACCTGGCATCTAGTAGGTACAATAAATGCTCACTGATTGGTTCACTCAACTGGCTATTTTCAAACCATAAGTGTTGGTGCATGCACTACTAGAGTCTGAATTCTTTGGGAAAAAAATGCTTTGAGCTGTCAGGAAGGCAATCACTGTGTCTTTATATTTAGCACATTATAGATGACACTTGGTTATTTTTCCCAAAAATAAAAAAAAATTAAAAGAAAATTTCTTAATGTAAAAAAAAGTATATTTTAATATTGTCAGCCTTTCCTGATGGAATGTTTTCTTTTCCAATTTTTTTAGTTTACTAGCTAATCATATTTGGGTAGAGAAATTAGGGGAAATACCTAAATAAATGAAATCCAAATAAATAAAACAATGATTTTACTTACTGGGTTTCATTCTGAAGATGGTAGAAATAAATTGCCTCATTTTTTTTTTATCTCTTCTGACTTTTTCAGTAGTGACTAGTTTTCCATTATCACCAATTACAAGAAGAAAAGACACTTTCTCTAAAGTTTATTTTATTTCTATAAAGAATTTTTTCCTTATGTTAGCTTAGGTTCCTTAATATGTAGTAATCCCTAATGACTGTGTTCTGAAGTTACTGTTTTACAGAGGGTAAATATCCACGAGAAGGCAATAGTACAGAAACTCAATTCTTGTGTTCACCATGTTGCTTTTTCTTTTCATGAGGGATTTGACCCAGGGAAAAGGGAGACTTAATATTCATCCGGTCCTTTTCAGCTTCTTCGTCTTCATCATATCTCTCATCCTCATCTTCTACATCACTATTAGGAGGACTGGAATGCTGAGAGCTTGTAGGTGATGGTGGCACTGATGAAGGCCTTGGAAATTTAAAACCTTTTGTCTGCCAGAAACAAACATTATAATGACTGGTTACTCTTAATTACACAAAAAATTGGGCTGTATTTCACTTAGCAAAAGTCTACTTAGTAGAATTCTCCCATACGCAGATTTAGTAAAGCATATGCCAATATATTTTGCATTGTCTGCCCAGGTACCATTGATCTGCAGTTTGTTCTGACTTTAGCAGCTGATCAATAGAGTAATCAACAACTTAAAAGGCCCAGTGACTAGTACAGTAGAAAGAGTTCTAGATTTAGAGTTGGAGAACCTATCTTCAAATATCAGCTCAGTTGCCTACTTAACCTAAATAAAACCAAATAAGTTCATCTGTAAAAGGAGAGGATTGGATTAGACAGCCTCTAAGATCCCTTCCTGCTCTAAATCTATGAACTTCTGTTGATCACTTCAAATTTTCTTCTGCTGATAGATCCTCTTTGTAATGTGTTAGTTATTAGGTCAGGAAAATTTTGTACATAGGAGGTTGGCAGACCTGCAGGTGACAACAATACCTTTTAAAATTAGAAGGCAAAACTAGGGATGGCCTGAATCCACTTACCTCTTTTGGCAAAAGTATCTCTGTTTAACCCTTTTTAAAAAGAACTGTCCTTCCACTTCCCCTGCCCCCTTTGCCTTTGGAGTAAGTGGGGGGTAGGGTGGAGAAACACCTGTTACATCAGTTGTGGCTGTGCTGAAGAATGGGGTATACCTACCATGGATGCTTAAACATTAAATCCCCCAGGTTCAGTAATTATTTTTATTGAAATAAGGGTTACTGTGGTTTCATTTTTAATATATCTAGGTCTTTTAAATAAGCATCCAATCAAAATGGAGATTATTTGCCTTTTTGAATAGCTTCTTAATGAAGTTTTGTGAGAAAACAAAGTTGTTATTCAGTCATTTCAATTGTGTCTGATTCTTTGTGACCCCAGATTTGGGTAGGAGGGTTTTGTTTTGTTTTTGTTTTTGTTTTTTGGCTAGGCAATGTGGTTAAGTGACTTGCCCAGGGTCACACAACTATTAAATGTTATGTGTCTGAGGACAAATTTGAACTCAGGTCCTCCTGAATCCAAGGCTAGTGCTCTATCCACTGTGCCATCTAGCTGCCCCTTGGGGTATTTTTTTTTTGGTGAAGACACTAGAGTAGTTTGCCATTTCCTTCTCTAGTTCATTTTACAGATGAAGAAACTGTGGCAATCAGTGTCAAGTGACTTGCCCAGGGTCACACACAGCTAGTAAATGTTTGCAGTCAGATTTTAACTCAGGAAATGAGTTTTCCTGATTCCAGGCCCAGCACTCTAGCTTCCAACTAGCTCACCCCAGACAACTAAGTACATACAGACTATACTGATAAAAGCAAAAATAATTCTTTAAATGAATTTTTGGAATCTTTTAAGTGATTATTATTTTCCTCCCTTCTTCCAAAAAAATTTGAGGTGGCAGAGTAATTTTTTTTAATGTTGGGGTCAAAGTCTGCCCTCTGATCCCCACTTCGGCTTTCTTTGGGAATATATCCCCTATTATAATGGAATTTAATGGGAAACATGCTTCCATATTCAAATACTATGTGCTGCTTGTCTGGGGAAATGTTTTTAAATGGTATGAAAGAACTGGACTATGGAGCCTACTGTACAATAGAAATTTCAAAGCTCTGTCACTCTGACCCTGAAATCTGTTATTGAGCCATAAACACAGCAAGTGAGGCTGAGTCATGTTATACCCACCAAGGGCTACAGAGTTAGTCCCTTGAGGAAAGAAATGTATGCCATCTGCTGCACAGTTGTACAACTACAGGCATCAGCAAATGCCCCAAGGTGAGCTGCGGCAGTCAGATTGAGTTTTGCAATATGTAAAGCCTAGCAGCAAGGCTGAGAACAGAGCAGGAGGAAGCAAAAAGGAGGGGGAACAGTGGCAGGTGGGAGGTGATAAGAAGTGGAGAGAAATAACTAGGTGTGGGCCCAGATAAAGGGGTCTTGGAGCACTTGGAGCAAGCCTAGGATCTTCCCCTGGCTGGAGCCCCACCCAAAACAGTAATGTAAGCCACAACCACTGTCCAAGCCTCCTGGAAAGAGATGCCAACTGGGGGGAAATTTCTTGATTCTATATGGGCTCAGATGTGAGTCCTTTATGTGTGCATTAATCTGTTCATGAAATTTTTATGTTTTGCACATTTAGAACCTGAGATTTTATAAAAATGGAACTTTTTGCTAATTTTTTCTTTTTTTTTCTTTTAAAATTATTTATTTTTAACATTCTTTTAAAAAATATTTGAATTCCAAATTCTCTCCCTCCCTCTTCCTGGCCCACGGAGAAGGCAAGCAATACAATATCATTCATATATGTGAAATCATGCAGTACATATTTCCTCATTAGCCATGTCTCAAAAAAGCTAGAAAAATAAAGAAAACAAGAAAAATATACTTTAATTTGCACCCAGAATTCTTCGGTTCTCTCTCTGGAAGTAGACAGCATTTTTTTTTCATCACAAATCCTTTGGACTTGTCTTGGACTATTTATTGTAGAGGGGAGGGAGCTAACCAGCCTTCAGCTACATTGGCCCCTAGATTCCAATGATGGACTTGTTCTGATTCCCAGCAAATTTACCTTCAACCAGTCCTGCCCTGTCTATTCCTACCAGAGACCAATCACAGGTAACATTTTAGTTCTTCTCTACCTGGAGCAGACATACTGGAGGTTTCAAACACAAGGTTTTCCCCAGCTTGTTCAGAGAAAATGTACTAGGTGAGGGACATTAATCAGCATTCTCTCCTCCTTTATTCTAGTCTCTTATAAAGGAGCATCCTTTCGCCTTACCAAGGCCAAATACTCTACTCCTACCCTTGATTCCATCCAGTTCCATTTTCTTGCCCACATAGTCGTCCGTCTTAATATTCATTCTTTTCCTATCTGCTTTGATTTGAATGTGGAAAAATGTTGTGTATTGATTTCGTCAGTAACTAAATGCTACTAATAGAGTTTCCTGTGAAAAAGAAGTTTACATGTATGTAAAAGTATATATAAATAAATATATAAATATTATATATAAATAATTTTAACAATATGTAATAAATTATATACATATAAAATTTTTTCTTACCGTTGGTGGTGCAGATTCAGCATGAAATTTATCTGGAAAAGCTCTGCTTAGTGTCAGGTGTCTGGCATGCATATAGTACTATAGTAGAAAAACAATTTTACATGTTTTTTAAAAATATGTAATTTTATACTTTCTTCATAGGTTTCTGAGTTTTGAAACATTTTCTAAATAAACATTTCATTCTTCTCTCACACCTATGATACTTGTGGCACTGCAAACAGTACAAATTTGCTCAGTTGCTGCCTTCCTTAAACCAGCAAAGGCAGTATCACTCCGTTCTATCTAAAAAAAAAATGCAAGATCTGAGTTGCCCACCAGATGGCTCTCTTCCTGGGCCAAGAGTCCAAGCTTTTGTCAGTCTTTCTGGCACATCAGTCTTCATAAAAGCCTAAGTTATTACCCTGCTTAGCCAGCCTCCTCCATGGCATCAAGCAGTAGTACTGGCCAGTTTCAGAATTTAGTTATTGGATGAAGTAGTGTATCATTCAAAATGTAAAACCATGTAATCTATGCTCCATACTAGGAATTTCATAACTTTTTCAACCCTCTTACTTCTTGGTTTTCAGTCAACTTTCCTGTACCTCCATTTAACATAAAAGGAAAGAAATTCTAGCATTTACCATGCATATACACATAAGAAATAGAAGGGATTAATTAGTTTTAATAGTATGACATAGTTATTTACCCTAATTCTTCATACTCCTTGAAAAACTTCTCATACCCCCTGGTAGTATACATACCCCAAGTTGAGAACCATGGTCTAAAATAATGTCTATAGCTCTTATCTCATTCCTGGACTCATTTCTGTTGGTTCACACCTCCATCCACATCTGCCAGACTTAGATTTATTTATCATATCGTAATCATAGAATTTATTTAATGAAAAAAGAAAAGGAAATAGATCACATTCTCCTTCATGGAACCATTCATCTGTGGCTATCTAATAAACCTTGTCCCATTTATCCTACCAGATTTTTAGGAGTGATTGGAGAAATTTCTGAATCACATATATCTTGTAAAGGAATAAAGAAAAGGGTATGTATTTGTATGTCTAGGAACAGTCTTTCTTCTCAGCCCTCCATCCCAATTGAACTTAATTTCTGGGAATTTCAGTGTTCAAGATCTTCTCTTATCATAGTAACTCCTTTCCCCCCCTGCTCCAAGGCCATAACCTTCACAGAGCTTATCTCTGACAGTCTCATTCACTAACCAATATAGTGATTGGTAGATCACAATCTGGTCTACTTATGAAAGCCCTGTAGTCCCAATGCAAAAGTTTTGTTTCCAAAGTTAGAGGAAAGAAAAAGCAGCAGCCCAACCTGTATGCCAATAGATAGATCTTGTGACCCTCTATCCTATCGTGTGGCTTTCTCTTTATTGCAGCTATGTGTTCCCTTAAACTCCCAGGGAGGGACAATGGACGATCTCCCTCCTGTGTATTCCAAGATCATCATAAATCAACTTTGCCAGTCTTCACCCAAGGCTCAGAGAAAGATAAATCAAACAGATAGAAGTCAAGGCATGTGCACAAGTTACAAAATACAGAAGAAAAAAATGAGAGGAACTGCTATCCTCGACCTGATTTTGACCAGTTCAATGCCAAATGGAGAGAAGTTACAAGTGAAAGGAACCTTGGAAGAGAGTGTCTACTAAGTCTTATCATGATAAAAAGATTAGTCTAGTATGCGTTTCAAATGTTGGGAAAGCCATTTTCAAAGTGTTCAGAAAAAGGAAAGATCCAATGTCCTAAATTTCTGCAGAAGTCACTCTAAGAGCAAAAAGGGGGAGCTATTTAAATCAATCAATCAACAAGCATTTATTAAATGCTATGCCAGCTGCTGGGGCTGCAAAAAGAAAAATTAAAGAGTCCCTGCTCTCAGGGTACTGAAGACTGATGTGGCTCAGTAGGGATCTCATTTATCAGCTCAAAATTTTAAAAAGCCTTTTTGGAAGATAGAAGCAAAGGCAGGTGACAGAAAAAGACCGACAAAGAGTAGTATCGTCCTCTGTAAGTGTAATGGCAGGGTTACCAAAGTGCCCACAAAGAGCTAAAACTGGCAGTGTATGCTAAAGATAGCAAAAAGGAATTTTTTAAGGTTATGTTGGAGGCCAGAGAAAGATCCCAAAAGGGACAGGGCAACTACTCAGGATAGAGCAAAATAAGTGAGATGTGAAGGTAGAACTACTCAACTCTTATTTTGCTTCTGTTTTCTCCGTAAAGGGATACTTGAAGGAAGCTATCACAATTTCCCCATCTTCTTTTCTCTAGGATAAACATCCCCAATTCTTTTAACATGGTATAGACTAAAGGCTTTCCACCATCTTGGTTGCCCTTCTTTAAATGCTCTCTTGTTTATCATTGTCTTTCCTAAATTGAAACATCCAGAACTGTATGTGATACCCCAGTTACAGACTGACTAGGGTAGAGTATAGTGTGACCATCAGCTACTTATTCCTGGAAAAGATGCTTTCCTTAATGTGAGATTGCGTTAAGCTTTGATGGCTGTGTTACACTATTGACTTGTACTGAGAAACCTGTTATGCTACTTACTGGACATCTTCACCTGAATGACATGTAAGCATCTCATTTCAACACGTTCAAAACATAACATTTTATGTTTCTGTTTAAACCTATCTCCTCTAAAAATTTCCTGTTTCTGTCGATGACACCACCATACTTAAAGTTGTCCAGGTTGGAATCTTAAGCATCATCCCTAACACTTTGTTCTCCCTCAAACCTCATATGTAATCAGTTGCCAAGTCTATTTATATTTATATTTACTCTTCAATATCTAATTTGTGTTCTAATCTATTCCTTCCTTTATACTAACACAGCCTCTATCCTAGTTCAGGTCCCCATCACCTCTCATGTGGACTATTGTAATTACAATCCTCATTGATCTCCCTCTCCCCAATCTCCAACCTCTCTAATCCATTCTGCAAACAGCTATCACATTGATTTTTTTTTTTAGGCAATTGAGGTTAAGTGACTTGCCCAGGGATAAGTGTCAAGTGTTTGGTCTAAGGCCGAATTTGAATTCTGGTCCTCCTGACTTCAGGGTCGGTGCTCTATCCACCGTGTCACCTACCTGCCCCTAACATTGATATTTTTAAAAGACAAATCTGACCAGGTCACCTCTGATCCCATTCAAAAAACTTCAATGATTCTGTATTGCTACCTGAGTCTAAAAGAAAAATTGTCAAATTTTAAAAAAAATGACTGGAAAATTACCAAAAAAATTAGGAAGGGCTTAAAGAAAAATTATCAAAAAACTACTACATTCAATATTATTCCAAGAAAAATGAATACTTAAAGAATGAATATTTACCAAAAAAAGTCCAACTTTATTTTTAAGAGAGAAATATACCAAATAATTCAAACTCAGAAGGAACATTGAGAAAGCCACAAATGAATTCCAAAAGAAAAAAAAAAAGACCCCATGCATCTGGACAAATGAGGCATTGTTATATAAAATTTGGAAACCACTGACCTAAGTTTTGACCACTTTTATGCATTGTTCAGGTAGACCAAAGAGAGAGGTCATGAGAGTTGAGGAATTAAGATGCCAGAGTGTTCAAAAGAAGGCAGTGAGCAGGGGTCAGAGTAGAAAAAAATACTATGAGCCAAGTACTGAATTTAATTGGGAGGAGAGAGACTTACTGACACCTGGAGGTCCAGAAATGACAGCAACAAAGATCTGGGCAGAATGGAGTGAGTTTTAAAAGAAATGAAGTGTCTGCTTAGTTATGCTGACAAAGGAAGAGACTGAAAGTGGCAATGGAGAAGAAGGAGTACCCAAACTCACTCTTGGGAACCTATGTGTCAGGACATCTGAGAAATGGAGCAGAATCCTTAGAGAGGGTGCCAAGTAATAGTTAGTCTTCAGGGAAAAGCTAGGTTTCAGAGAAAGACAGAATGAATGTGAAAAGAAGAAATCTAGAGTGAAGGTGAGTTTATTAACAATAAAGGAGGATTCCAGTGGAAAGGAAGGGCAGAGAAGGATGTGAACTAAGGAAAATTATGACAGGGTTAGCTGTGCAGTAAGGATGGCAGCCAGCATTTGCCTCCTTCGCCACCGTCAGTGCAGATTCCTAACAGACCCACGCTGATCCCAGGTTCATTTTTTTTAGTGAGGTAATTGGGGATGAGGGACTTGCCTACAGTCACACAGCTAGTGAGTGTTATGTGTCTGAGGTTAGATTTGAACTCAGGTCCTCCTGACTCCAGGGCCGATGCTATATCCACTCTGCCACCTAGCTGACCCTCCCACGTTCATTCTTGACATCTCATGAGGCACAGGTCACCTGACAAGGTGGCACAATGGGGACAGTGTGGCCTAACATGGAGGTAGAACTTAGGACTCTGACAGGTGGTAACTTAGGGACCAGGTGAGAGAGTGGGTTGGTCAGGAGGCTGTCCCTGCACCATTTCTGTGCCTAGGGAAAGGCCCTGACAGCCTAAATCTAGGTCAAACTCTAATGTTCACTTACCCTGCCTAAGTATTTCCAGTCCAGCAGGTCAGAGAGTCTTTCAGTTCTGTTCCTCTGGATAATTCTCTGGCGACGAGACTGTTTGCAGAATCCATAGAGAAACTGAGTCAGCTGATTACAGGACTCATCTGGTGAGCAGAACCTTCTATCAACAATGTAAATACCTGAAGGGCATAGAGGCCAAAACACTCGTAAAATTTCATATTTTTGTGACAGAAGTTTTCTTTCTGCTTTCCTTCCTACTGTCCTTTTTCCTTCTTCCCCTTATGTCCTTTTATATTATTCTCTTCTTTCCTTCTTCCCTTAGATTACCACCTGTTTTCCTCCTTGCCTATAACCTACCCCTTTCCCCATGATCCTTTACTTTCTGTGTGACCTCCTTCTAACTAGCTACACTTGGTTAAAAGTAAAGGGTGGGAGTCTTGGAATACCACACTAGTTGGACAGAATATGTGTGACAATAGTATTACAGTCAGAAAATGTTAAAGGAAAAAGCCATACACATGGCTTTTTATGGTCAGACCTGAATGTCATTTTCTAGCTTTATTTCTAGGTCATTTAGATGTGGCCTGGTTTTTGTTTGTTTTGTTTTGCTTTTGTTTTTGCATACATTGCTTTTATTCTTTTTTTTAAAAAATCATTTTGACATGATATCATACCAAGAGTATTTCTACTGGTGGTGAGTTAATACAATTCTTGTACCTCATCTCACAGCATCTTCTGATGTTAAGAGAAACATGTAACCAAAGCTGCATAATTGTACAGTTGTCATTAAGGTCTATTTCCCTGTTGGTGGGGTGCCCATTTGATGGATAAACACATTTGAATAATACATAGATGATCATAATAGAGTAATACTGGTAACCCAATTTAATGTGAGCTAACAAGAAGGTAAACTGGTCTTGTTTAGATTATTCTTTAGAGCAGGAGTTCTTAATTTGGAGTCCATGAACTTGGGTTCAAAAATGTTTTGATTAATATTTTAATATAAATGGTTTCCTTGGCAATCTCATGTATTCTATTTTATACATTTAAAAACACTACTCTAAGAAAAGGCGGCATGTCATAGGCTTCACTAATCTACTGAAAGGTCCCATGATACACAAAAGGTTAAGAATCTCTGCCTTAGAGACTCCCTCCTGGGGAAAAAGAAAAAAGAAAAAGAAAAGGTCTACAAGCCTCATAGGAAATCTATTTAAAGGCCAAATCATGGGTAAAGTCAGTTTTGGTTTTGGGGGTTTTTTTAGGTAGAAATAGTACATGCTTATCAATTTACTCACCCCCACATTTTGGTTATTGTAATACTTATCCTGGACAGTAGAGGGCAAAATAGATACACAGAAAGCAAAGGAACTGATACATGAACCAAAGGACCATAGGATTTCGAGCTAGAAGGTACCTCAGAGATCATCTAGTCTTCTCCTTTTTACTGAGAAGACTAAGTCCCAGGAAGGCTCATTGTTTCCCTGAAGCTTACAGAGACAAGAAGTTGCAGCACCTGATTCCAAACCATATCCTCTGGCTCCAAATTTAATAATCTTTGTACTACATTGCTCTGCCTATCCTAGTGATAATGACCTGTTTGGGATATTGGGACCTATCATTAAGGTTTATAACCTTATCTTATCTATAGCCACAGATCTGAATCTAACTTTCATTGAAACCAAGAAAATAAATATTAATTAAATACATTGTTAGTTCTATAGAATCAGATATAAGACAAACCAGACCAGCCTTATGGACTGTGTATATGCATATGTGGAGAGATAGGCAGAGAGAGACAGAGACAGAAAGAGACAAAGAAAGAGACAGAGAGATTGAGAGAGATGATGGAGATGCATAGATAGATGATAGATATGAATATATGGATAAGTGGATGGAAAGACAGACAGACAGATAGATAGATAGATAGATAGATAGATAGATAGATAGATAGATAGATAGATAGATAATCTCATCACATATATGTATGTGTGTACATACATTTAATCCATCTTGTTCCAGGTTTAGGTGAATGATAAAAATCTTACCGTAAGCAGCTGGGTCAGTTATGTGTTCTTGCATGAAACAACCAAAGCCAGAGAGGTTTGTTGTCACACTAGGAATGCCCATCACAGTGCATTCAGCTGTCAATAGGCAGGGAGAAAGATTCTACTTTATACTCAGAACACAATTATCTTGTGGAGAAAATAGGCCATAGTTTCCATCTATTCTAGTGACAAAAAATTTCTGGTCCAGGTAGGAAAGGTGGTTGACATTTTCCTTCACCTAGAATATATTTGCTTACTTATACCATATAGAGCCCTTATCCTAAATTTGTGAAGTAGGCAAAATATATGTTTAACATTCCCTGTTTCTGTCCCTTGCTGCCACCCTTTCCCACTCCATAGGCACCAATGGACTCAAATTTTTTCCCTTTTCTCTCAATTCAAAGCCAGAAAAAAAGTTTAATGTTTTTTGCACTTAAACTGTAAAATATTCATAAGACTTAAAGTGTTACCCTATCTCTGAAAAATAAAATTCGTATTTTCATAGAAATCAAAGTTTTAACCCAAAGCAATGAAACAATTTTCATCTTTACCATCGAAGCAGATTGTAGAAAGCCTCAGCTTGTTTGGTAATTCTGAATTTCAGTTGAGCCCAGAATATATAGAATAGTAGTATAAAGAATAGAGTGAAGCTGTTAAGTTTGGTAAAATGTAAGATGGCATTTTTTCTTTGATCTTGGTTAATTATATTTAGATAGAAAATCAGTGCAGCACAATGCAATTTATATACTATCTCTGAAACAGATCTTCATTTATTTGTATGACAGCAAAACAAAATTAAGGCAACTAGGTAGTGCAGTGTAAAGAGCCAGCCCTAGAGTCAAGAAGAACTGAGTTCAAATTTGATCACAGACATTTATTAGCTGTGTGACCCTGGCAAGTCACTAAACCCTGTTTGCCTTAGTTTCTCACCTGTAAAATGAGCTGGAGAAGGAAATGGCAAACAACTCCAGTATCTTTGCCAAGAAAACCTCAGATGGGGTCACAGAAAATTGGACAGGACTGACACAACTCAACAACCAAACAGAGTTGTTGAACAATTTTTTTTGTACTAGTTGGAGGTATGTCTTGAAGTCTTAAGAATTTAGGAACTATTCGTGTGATAGGCTCATAGAAAATATACATTTCAAGTAAGGCAGGGGTCATAATGGTTCCCTGGCTTATAAGAATTTAAATTTCTTAGGGTCTTAGGTTTTCAGGAAAATGTACTTCCATTCAGATTTTTTTAAAAAAGAGTGTAGGTGGTTGAGTTTTAGGTACTAAGATTAGTTAATTAATGTTTCTGACTTTCCTGGGAGAGATTACACAGCACAGTTATCAATACATTAGGGATTTTGAAACATATAGCTACCTTGTAAAAGAAAAAAATGTGATCAATACAATTCAATACCATTTATTAATTATGTATAGTAGAAATACTGTAAAGCTCCAGGAATTAGCCAGAGGGCAAATGACAATATACTGTTTAATTTGGGGGTAGAATTAAGTGAGAGAGGAAAAAGGTTACCTTTCTATTACCTCTAAACTAAAAACACTTAGCTCTTTATGTTTTCTCTCAGTATAGATGTATGTGTGTGTGTAAATGTACATATATATATATACATATACATACCAACACATATACATATATACATACATGGTCTACAAAATATTAAATGATACAGTCATTAAAATCAGGCTTTTGTTTTTATTATATATTCCTAAGCATAACACAGAATAAGGCTAAGACAGCCTACATGTGCAAAATACATGATAATAAAATTGTTTAAATATATGTCCACATTCATACGCTCAGGCCATAAGAATATATTATTTAAAGGATAGCTTCTGGTCAGTTACATTTTTCCTTCATATTCAGTGGTTGATCTTGAGATATATTAGGGATACTATGATAAACGAAAAAGCAGAATACATTAGCAGATATGTTAACATAAATTAAAGGGGAATTAAGGTATTACAAACTTCTTTAAGAGATTTATGTGGAGTATTCAATAGTGAGTATCATGGCCAATATGAACTATTCAAAAATGAAACTAAACTCATTGAAGCTTAACTAACTAATTGATGTGAATAGCACTCTACCTTCTTTTGGAGACAGAAAGTCAATTGAATAGGCTATTGTGTCCTACCTATCAGTAATCCTCTTTACTCTCTTCTCTCCTCATTTGTCCCTGAAGAACCTAGAGTTTTTGGGGTTTTTTAAATGCTGGTTAACTTGATTCTTAGAAGAAACCTAAACAGTGAGATTATATTCTGCGTCCATTTATATAGGCCAATAGTTTACTCTTTCTATTGCAAAAATCCAGAAGGGCCTTTCACTCTGTATTTTATACTTCTTTGGACACTAGTATTCACTTTTTACTACAATTGAGTTTCTGAAGATTTTTAAAGTTCTTCATTGTTGTAGTCAAACCTATGATCCATAGTCCTCCAACCTCTGCCTTCCCTTTATCTGGGTCATTGTGTTGTTATTGTTTAGTCATTTCAGTCACGTCTGATTCTTCATTGGACTTTTCTTGGCAAAGGTACTAGAGAGGTTTGCCATTTCCATTCCCAGCTCATTTTACAGATGAGGAAACTGGAGCAAAGTGGGTTAAGTGACTTGCTCAGGGTCACACAGCTAGTAAGTGTCTGAAGCCAGATTTGAATTCAGGAAAATGAGTCTTCCTGACTCCAGGCCTGGCACTCTATCCACTGTACTGATGGGGTGCTGGGGTGCTTGTACTCGGACCCCACTTCTAAGATCATATTTCTCCCTAACTTCAGAAACACTATCCCTGACAGTTTCTCTCCAGCCCAAAGACCCTGTCTCTGGCAGTGACTCGTGAGCGGGCCCAGTGTGGTAGACTATCTCTACCTGTTACAAGAACAAGCTGACCTCTGTCGAATTTCCCTTGTACTATCTTGTATCAACAGAACTATCAAGTACTGATGCCCACAGTTACTGTATATAACCTAGAGGTCAAGCTATAGATGTCAGCTCCCAAAACTATCTTGTTACAGACATAATAGACATACCCTTTAGGAACCCTCTCTTTCCCCCTACTTGCCACATAACTCACCACTTTTCCTCTATAAGTTTTAGCACCATTCCTGTTAGGTTGCAAGTTCCCTAAGGAGGTCTGCCCACCATAACAGAATTCCTTAAGGACCTCTTCCCACTGTGTATTGTAACAATTAATCTTTGCCACCTTGACTCAAAAAATGCTTGAGTCTGTGAATTTATTTCAGACGACTTCATCCTATACTCGGGTCCTTGAGGGGTTGAAATCTCTCGGATCTCAGCAGTGCCATCTAGCTACCCTAATTTGCCTTAGATAGGTCTAGAATTAATAATTTCACAAGGATTATTGTATCATAAAGACACAATAGTTCTTTTGCCATTGATTTTGAAACTGATTATTTTTTCTGAAACTTCTTCCTTTAAAATAAATGAAATTATTTCTAAACAAGTAAAAAGGTACATTTCTTGTTAACTGTCAGACAAAAAAGTCAATATTTTCTTTGCTTTAGATATGAAAGTAAATTTTTTGTCTTTCAATTAGGCATCACAGATCCAGCTAAAAACTGATCCATCTTGGTGAAAAGGTATTAGTGGTGGGGGTCCATGAAAAACCAATGAGGTAATGGCACTGAGAATAAACTGTAGAAAAGTGTGGTGTCGTGCTGCTATGTTACCCTTAAAAGTATATACTCTGGAAGTGATTTTAAGGAGCAACGTAAAAAATTGTTTACTATTTTTTTTTAATCACTATCTTTTTTTTTTAGATGAGAATACCGAGAGGCTGAAAAGGATGTGTGCATATATCTGCATGTAGAAAAAGGGTTCTCAACCTGTGATCCATAAACTTTAAAAAAAAAACATTTTGAGCTGTATTTCAATATAATTGGTTTCCTTAGTAATCCTATGTGTTTTACTTTATGTTTTTAAAAACATTATTTTGAAAAGGGGTCCAAAGGCTTCTCTAGACTGCAAAAGGGATGCATGATCCACAAAAAAAGCTAAGACGCCCTAATATAGAGGAAGCTAGGTATAACAATGGATAAGGGGGATACACTTAGATTAAGGAATTCCTAGGTTGAAATCCTGCCTCAGACTCTTAATAGCTTTGTGACCCTGTATTTCTCTCTGCCTGTTCCTTCATCTTAAAGGTAATAATTAAAGTTTTTACTTTGGGGGCATTGTTGTGAGGATTAAAAGGTAATGCATGTAAAGTACTCTGTAAATCTTAAAGCACTATATAAATGTGAGTTATTATTATTATTATTATTTATAGTCAATGTCCCATTGTTCATAGTAATGGATGAGAATAGAAATGCACAAAATGATACATTGCTTTTATCATGGTTTTCTAGAATTGCTTTACTATTTTTTAATTGCATTGGACTTAAAGTCAACTTTCAGTTTGTTTGTGGGTTTAGACAAGAGAACAGGACTGACATGGAATTGAGGGCAGAGGGAAAAAGACAGGTCTATCCCAGAGGTAAGGACCAGAACAAAATATGAATTTATGAGGAAGCATGTGTATACATTTCTAAAGTTGGGGGGGTGTGTGTTTATGGAAACTGAGAATTTCTACTGGCCAGCATATATTCATCTTCAGTGTCCTGTTATGTAATATATATATATATATATATATATATAAGATTAGATTAGATTAGATTAGGTAATATAGTTATCCCTTCCACAGCATGACTTTCACCATCACGGTTTCCTATGTATAGTGGGTTGATATAAGAAACTAAATGTTTTTTGGGAGGAGTTTTGAGGAAACTGCAGATGACACATGAAGGCCAGCAGACAACAGAGAAAAAGTTAAAAAACTCAGAAATGCATAAAATATGTGTATAGTATTATATAATATCAACATGTTTTATCTTTTAATACCATAATAATTCAGACTTCTTCTCTTGTATGAAGGGAAGGGAAAAAAATTTTACATGGATTTTCCAGATCTCAGGGCACCATATGCATGTACTCCACAATGTGGAAGGGATAACTGTATTTATTATTTTATGCATTTCTATTCTTATCCATTACTACGAACAATGGGACATTGACTGTAAGTCATCCTTTGCAACAGAGATTTTAAAGATAGGTAAGAATGGGGAAAAAAGTAGTTAAGGAAAGTCAACTGACATCTAACTCATCTGACGGTATATGCTCTCAACACACACCCACTTGCATATGCAGGTACGTGCACACACACACACATGCACAAGTGTATACACACACACACACACACACACACACACACACAATCTTTATACATGATACTAACCTGGAGTATAACCCCAGGGTTCATAGTATGATGGAAATACTCCAAGATGACAGCCTCTGACGAACTCTTCATAATCCATAGGTAATAATGGACTGGTTGAGGAAAGGAATTCTGGATGTAAAATCACCTAGTTAAGCAAAACTCACATGAGAAAAAAAGGAAAGGAGGAAAACAAAGCTTAAAGGTATCTATCTCATTGCCTTTATGATCAAATACAGTATCTAAAATTCTTTCTTTAACTTTTGGAGGGATTTTTTGTGTGTATGTGTGTATGTTTTGTTTTGTTTTGGTTTTTTTTTACAGCAAGGCTTCCTCTTATCTTTTTAGCCTTGTTATTTACTATTTCCCTTCTTGTCTTCAGTAATTCTGCCAATCTGGCCTTCCAGCTGTTCCTTATATGTGGCATTCCATTTCAATGCACTCCCTCCTCACCTGGGCCTTTTAGAATGCTTTGTTTTCTTTAAAACTCAGCTTAAGGGCCATCTTGTACATGATCCTAATCCATTTAGCATTATGTTCATATTGCATATATTTTGTACATATTCACATTATATGTACATGTCGTCTCCTTTGTTAGAACATACACTCCTTGAGGGCAAGTGCTGTTTCATTTTTGTCTTTGTATCTCCAGCACCAAACAGTGCCTAGGACATAATAGTCCTTTAATAAATACTTATTATAGATTATCTTAATTCAGTAGTATTCATTTTTATAGAAGGTGTAAAAGACTAAATTAATTGGAATTTGCTCCCAATAGGGCTCTAGATCATTATCAGCGCAAATTGATTGACATAAAATAAGAACCAACAGAAACTTTTACTAAGGTTCAGACAGGGCTATTTGTGAACTTTTAAAAAGTATTCCATTTAATTCAGCAGACTCTAAACATCTATTATGTTTATGGCATTATGCTGGGTTCCAAATTAATAAACCATATAGCTTCCTTGTATTGATTATTTTGATTATTTCCAACTTTATCATATTTGTATCCCCAGCACTTAGCACTATGCCTGGTGTATAGGAGGTGCTTAATCAATGCTTATTGACTGACTGACTGACTGACTATTGTAGAGTTATCAGCTTTTTAGTATGACACTGTGATTGAAATTTAATTGTCAACCTGAAGTGTAAAAATTGTCTCTCCTGATAAAATGCTGGTCCTTGAGACTAATAACTTTTTCATCTTCTTTTTTGTGTTTCTAGTGCCTACCATAGTTCCTGGAATGTTGAAGGTGCTTAATAAATGCTTGTTAATTGGAAAAACAAACTGACCACTGAATATCTAGTTGGGGAAAGCTCATATTCCATCTACCAATATGGGAAAACTAGAACCACCCACATACAAAGCCAGTCCTGGTCTTCCAGCAAAACAAAAGGACAGCACAAATAGAAAAAAAAAAATAATAATATATCGAGTCTTTCAGGGATAGATCTTAGATCATAGAATCAAAGAGTAGTGAAAGAGACCTTAAGGATCATCTATTTCTCTATCTTAATTTTTAATATTGGAAAATTGAACTCCGAAGGTATTAAATGACTTGTCCAAAGTCATGTACCTAGTTAGTGGCCAAGCCAAGATATGAATCTGAGTATCTTGATGTCTAATCTAGTCTAGTCTAGTAGTTTGTTTGCAAATGAAGTCATAGGCCCCAGTCCAAAAAAGAAAACAAAATGATAGTAAAGCATGCTATGAGGATTTACTTAGTAAAACAATCTTTAGAGGATATGCCAGAGGGTTTGTCCAGATTTAATGCAATCTCTTGTACTTGACTTTTATCATAGAATGAGAACTTTTCAGAATTCTGATCTTTAAAACACTTTAAGTTCTGCAATAAAAGAATTAATAATGTTTATTATATTCTACTACCTCATGAGAAGCAGAACAGTACATTAATAAACAAAGGTTTTAACAAGTGAAAATTTTAAATTCAGTTTACAAACATCCCATTCTTCAAACAATCTGATAAAATGAGGTTATACTGTTACAACCTTAGCTTCTCATCTATGTCCTGTAGTAAAGATCTATAAATGGGAATTTAATTTTCTAAAATGTGAATCAGAACAATTAGCTCTACCTTGACTCTGTCTGTCCGGCTGTTGAAAAGTCCAATCCGCCGGATGGTACTGAGGATGGGATCAGTGGAATCATCAATCATGTTGTGAGTAGTCACTGGAGGCAAGCTTTGTCGCTAGAGGTGTAGGATGAAGAAAAAATTAAGTTTTAGAGATAATCTATGTGTGATTGGACTCAGCAATAGCTGATTGTCATCATTTCTTCATTATAATAACAGTATCCACTTATTAGCATGCCATGGTTTACAAAGTGCTTTCCTCATAACCAGGAAGGTTGTGTAAGTGTTCTCTCCATTGTGCAAATGAGCATTTTGAAGGTGAGCAGCGAAGGGATTTGATCAGTCACAGAGTTAGGTTTCACAGAGGAAATTTGAACTGAGGCCTTTTGATTAGAGGTCCCAACTTCACCCACTATACCATAACATTCTTCATGTCATGATCTTCTACATACGGAGGAGCCATGTTCTCCTTGGGATCTATATCCCAAACAAACCTATGGGGAACATAGCAGACTCTTATTGGAAGGAAACATTTGAAATGCTTCTGGATACAAAGGCTCATGAAAGAAATGAGAGGAGTGAGATTTCAACCAAAGAGAGAGGAAAATGGCCAGGGAGCCAGCAGGCTGCTGGGTCTGACATTTCACACCATTAAATAGAAGGCTTTCTGTTTTCCATGCTAGGATGCAATTGCTGCAGAAAGTTTCTTAGCTATAGTTCCCTTCCAAAATCTTGGATCCAGTGCTTTGATACAAGCCGTCCACGTCCTAGGACATCAGAGCTCAACCAGGAGTCAAGTTGCTAATAGCCTTTTGTTCTTTCCTAGGTTGCTTCCTTATGCTGACGTAGTGGCATTAAGTGCCAAAAGAGTGGGCTTACAGGTCTGTTTTTCCTGTTTTACCAGTTTAAATGCCTACGTTGATAGAAAAGTTGGTTGTGAGCAGTAGTTAAATAAGTGGTGAATCCCATCAGGTCCTAGAAACCAGAATGTGGACATGGGGTGCTGCATTATGGGGAGCTCATTAGAGGAGAGATAGATAGATAGATAGATAGATAGGTTAGATAGGCAGATACATAGGAAGGAAGGAAGAAAAAGGGGAGGGAGATGGGAAAGAAAGAAGGAAGGAGGGAAGAAGTGAAGGAAACATGAATTTATCAAGGCCCTACCTACTATGTGTCAGGCACTGTGCTAAGAGTTTTGCAAATATTGTCTCATTTAATCCTCACAACAACCCTAGGAGATTGATGCTATTATTATTTCCCATTTTATAGTTGAGGAAACTGAGGCAGGTAGAAGTTAAGTGATTTGCCCAGGGTCACACAGCTAATAAGTATGTGAAGTAAAATTTGAACTCAAATCTTCCTCACTCCAGGACCAGCACTCTACCAATAAGGTACCTAGCTACTTCTGGAAAGGAAGAAAATGGCCAGTGGGCTGGAAAGCATTAAAGAGGAACAAAATCCTCCAGTTCCATTAAGCAAGGGTGATGCCAAAGACATTCAACTTTGATCAGTCTCTAATGCCTGGAAAATAAAAGAATCAACTGAGAAAGAAACTCAGGAATGAAGACTGATGTGTATACATTGCATAAATAGGATGTGGGCAGCATTCAAGGACTAACACACATAATCCACCACCATGACTCTCTATATTTTCAAGAGCAGTATTGGAAAATTGCTTTTATTTTTGAGGTGGCAGACCTCAGTAATCCACCTGGAAGAACTGTTATTGGCATCATCATAGTTGTAAGACTTGAGTTCTTTGTAAATCTCTTCCTAAGATGTACCACTTTTCATACTCCAAAGCTCCTGGATTCAAGTGCTGGGAGTTACTAGCTCCCCTTACTCCCATATAGATTTCTTTGGTGTTCTCATGTAGCCGCCCTAGAGAGTAGTCTCAAGAACCTGTTTTTCCTATTCTATAAATTGATATGAGAAAACTTAAAATTCTCTTTAATTCCCTAAAAGTTTGGGAAATGAGTAGTGATAGATTTATTGCTTGGTTCTCATCTTTTGTTAGAGATCTTTTAGGCCATTGTAAATTGCTGTGCTATTAAATGATTAATCCTGACTGGCTATAGAGTTTCAGAGGAAAAACATAGGGTCTACTGGGCAGTGGGTGAATAGATGATGAATACTAACAGGCTCTAGGAATATGAATGTGACAATGAGACACTGTCTATGTATTGCCACAATTATGTAATGAGGAAACTGTCTATCTTGGTTATACAAAGGATTATACAAAGCATACTCCAAGGACTAGGCTTTCATTGGCCAATCTTCCACTATACAATTTCCCAGTTTGACACTATAGGCAATGAGTATAAGCTTTGTCTCTGCATTTGGCTGAAAAAACAAATAGGTGAAAACACATGAAATTTGTTTTTTGACTTGCAGCTGTAGTAGTGATGTTAAAAGCTATCATCTGTTGTGATTTTTTCTCTCTCTCTGGGATTTATTTGAAATCTAAAAATGTCCTGAAAGTCTTTTCTCAAAAGAGGGCATCGGATTATTTTTAGTTGTGTTGTCTTTTGGTATTTTTCAGCACTGCTTATCTTAGTCATATTGCTTGAAGATTCGCTTTATTATTACATATTAGCACATTTATCCCCCCTCTACAATTAATCCCACCACCACTAACCCCACACACATAGAGCAGCTGGCCACACTACAATTGAGCACACATACTTTTTTCATGATACCTTACATAAATTGCATCTTATACATTTACAAGGAGAAAAGGTTCACTGAAAAGATATGCATGAGTAGAGAAAAAACACATTTTAGTTGAATATGTTACAGCTGCCTTTCTCTCTTTAGGATGTGTGTGTGTGTGTGTGTGTGTGTGTGTGTGTGTGTGTGTGTGTATGTGTGTGTGTGTATAAATCAGGATTTTAAAATACCCATTTTCATTCTGGTTCAAATTATTGCACTGAAGCATGGAAAATTTTTTTCTTTTTTACCTGAGTGGAAAAGATGGCTCTTTTCATAATTGTCACATCATCTCGATCCAGGATCTTATTCAAATCCGGAATTTCTCCTCTTTAGAGAAAATATACAGAATAAAGCAAATTAAACTTAAAGCAATTCCCAATAAAGACTCAAAGCTTGTGAAAGGCATGGAGGAATTCCCTTTCAACAAAACTGCTTCCCATCTGCAGAGGATTCTAATCCACTTGACTATTTATGCAAGAGACATTTAAAATTAACTTTCAAAGAAGTTAATTTCACCCCTGAATGGGATTCAGTCATTACATTTGGTACACTTCACCAGAGTACCATTTACTGAAGCTCTATCTGCAGCATACAGAGTTTTCTATGGATATTCCTAATCTAAGTTGGACTGGTAGCAACGAATGATCCAGCCCACCCTACATCCACCAATATCCATTCAGACCACCACCATTACCACAAGTTAACTAAAAGAAAAGCTTCTCTGCATAGTTATTTACAAAGGTCTCAGACTACAACTCAGTCCACCTTGTAAACACCCTAACAAGCCAAAGATGACTCAGAATTTGATTACATAAGACTTCACATGTATAATGGGTATCATATTGCTTGCCTTCTCAACACATGGGTGGGGGTGACGGGGAAGACAGAGAGAGAGAGAGAGAGAGAGAGAGAGAGAGAGAGAGAGAGAGAGAGAGAGAGAGAGAGAGAGAGAATTTGGAACTCAAAATTTGAAAAAAATGAATATTTTTTTAAAAATAATTTGGTTGCATGTTTAAAGGTCATTCTCATTTAGGTATCGCAATAAAATTTATTCTGTTTGTATCAAATTATGGGATATATAGTATCCTGGCCTCCTGACCTAGTACATCTTTAGAAAAGTCTTCATACATAGTGTACATATAGTACTTATGTTATAATATATATTCTGAATTAAAATTGTTTTTAAAAACCTAAATATTTGAAATGATGTCTTCAAGGCACCTACCTTAGTAGTGCATCATAGAGTTTCTTTCCAAACTTTTCTTTCACTGAATTTGCAGTGTCCCTGTTTAAAATAAGATATTTTAGGATTAATTTTTGGTGCCATAGTTTGTCTTATTTAAAACTTTGGATGTTATGAAGAAAAGTCATTACTTTACTTCCTTTGAAAATGTGCTGGCAGCCTACCTATTGGGAAATAGCTAAATAAATTACAGCATATAAATTCAATAAAACATCATCATGACATAAGAAAGGATGAAATGGACAGTTTCAGAGGAAACTAAGAAGATCTCTATGAACTGATCCAGAGTGAAGTAGGTGGATCCAGGAAGTCCAAAGGAAGTAAAACAAATGCTTGGGGGAAAAAATAAGAATAAAATTTTTAAATGAAGAGGAAAAGAATTTGTACTGACAACTGAGCATTTAGACTAACTCTACATATTTTCTATAGTGCTTCCCCTCCTTCTCCTCCTCCTCATTATTATTATTATTTGCATCCCAGTCTAATCTCCAGCCTTCTGGTGGTACCACATCTAAACTATCTCAAACTGTTGAGAATTTAGCCTATGGTTTACATAAAATTTTAATTTTAACTTCTATCAACAAGTACAGGAATTCATATATATGTATATATATGCATACATACATATGTGTGTATGCACATATTAAAATGAGGACATAAAAATTAATAAGTGAAATGAAACAAAAAATAGATAGTAAATGATTATAGTTTGTATAGCTCCTTTAGTTGGTGATTCTTAATACCAATTCAAAAATGTATGTATTGACTTTTGCACACTAATACACCTACCATTTTTTGTTATTCCTTTTTTTAACTTTTTCTGTTAATTTAATATGGATATATTGCTGTTATTGTTGTCTTTAATTACATAATTGTAATGAGAGCATATTGGGGGTTTTTTTGGTTCCAGTTAATTTATTCAGCATCACTTCACATAGGTCTCACATTTTTAGAAATGTATCATATTTTGTTGCTTCTTAAAGGAACAATAACATCTCCTTGCATTCCTTTGTAATGCTTTTATTCAGTCATTCTCCAATCATTGGATATCTACTCTTTGCTATTACAAATGGTACTACTAAGAGTGGTTTTATGTAGATGGATTTTTTCCTTCCTGGCAACAAGTTCCTGGGGGATATAGTCTATTAGTATCTCGGGGTCAAAGGATTGTGAACATTTTTTGTGACATTAATTGTGTAATTCTATTTTGCTTTCTAAAAACATTGGATGATTTCTCAACAACAGAAAGAGTAGTGTGCCAGTTGTTACTATAGCTCTGCCAATTAAATTTTTTTAAACCATAATACTTTAAAAATATCTACTATATCCAATGCACCATATTTGGCACTGGGAATACAGTGACAGAAACAAAACAGTCCCTGCCCTCCAGGAGCTTGCATTCTATTGAAAGGTTGTGATATGTATAAAAATAAATGTAAAACATATCCAAGATAACAAAAAAAGTTTCAAGAGGGACATAGTACAACTTTGGAGATAGCACAACAAGAAGGATCACTTCTGCAAAGTCTCAGAAGCAGGAAATGGAAGTTCATGTATAGAATACAACTAGGACCTGATTGATATGACCTAGATAGTAACAAGGATGAGACTGGAAATAAAGTGGGTGAGAGGAGTTGGAGAGACAGATTATTGAGGTAATTAATGCCAAACTAAGTACAGTTTATTATTCAAGAGGAAATAGGGAGCCATTGAAGAATTTGAGTAGCCACATGATAAGGTCAGGTCTGTGTTTTTGAATATCAATTTGGCAATTGAATGGAGGATGGATTGGAAAGGGGAGACAATGGAGGCAAGGACGCTACTCTAGTAGTCCATGCAAGAGGTAATGAGAGCCTGAAGTAGGGTAGAAGCTGAAAAGTCTACCATTCTCATCCACTCACCCACCAACCTGGCTACAAGAGGGTAAAATACAATTTAGTTTTACTTTCAAGCTGTGGGCAACCACTACTTTGTGTCTTGAGAGGGAGGGAAGAGTCATGAACAGCTCCAAGGTCACTTAAACAGCAAATGGCACTGGCAAGCTATGGAAAGACAGACTAAGTTGTTATGTATGTTATGATGTTTGGTGGGGGGAGTACTTCCTCCATCTTCCCTCTATGGAGGAATAGTTTTCTTTTAGCTCTTTCCTTATTCGGGGGTGGAGTTTTCTTTTAAAACGCTTACTTCTCCCAAACAGTGGTTGCCCATACAGGTAGCAGTGAAGACCCTGTTCAGATTTTCCACTATAAATTTGTAGTGGGTAAAATTAGGAACTTGGAGTCAGTGGTCTCGAAGGTACCTTCCAGCTCTGACACTTAGGACTCTACAAAGACAAAGGAGACTCTTATCTTGTTCCAAGACTTTTCTTCCAAGACTATGGGGAGAGTAAGGTGGTTATACAGTTATGGAACCATGTAAATTCAAAGAGCATTTAGATGATCTAAATTGTTGTAAAATTTAATCTAAATGATCAGTTTCCCTGCATAACACTTTTTAATTTTTAGGGTTGTTGTGAGATCAAATGAAATAATATTTGTAAAATGCTTAACATAGTACCTAGCACATAGTAGGCTCCTAATAAATGCTTATTTCCTTCCTTCCTTTCAATGATTTTTAACAAATGTTTTATTTTCAAATAATAATGCTTTATTTTACATTTGAAGTTTTTTTTTGAAGTGTCTGTCCACAGCTTGAAAGTAAAACTAAATTATATTTTGCCCTCTTATGGCTAGTTTAATGGGTAGGTAGATGGAGAATGGTAGATTTGGGGGCCAAAACTGAACACTAGCCAGAGTTTATATACTGAATTTTAGTACAATGGATTGAACTGAAGGCCAACAGTTTCTCAAATGACATGGATGAATCTCAGGGAGCCAGAGACAAATATTCCAAAGTTTTCCAGTGGCAATCTGAGATGGAAGAGCAGGAATTGCCCAGATATTTTTTTTCCTGAGCTTATTTGTATATCAAAGATTTTATCTTCTTTCACTTTTTCCTATAGAAACACTCAGAGATGCTATGGAATATTAAACCATGTGTTTTTATCTTCAAAAAGTATACCTAGGTTAGCTGATTCTGGGGTGAGGCCTAGTTTTCCTTGCCTTAAATCATATTCTAGGTATTTTTCTTTTCTTTTCCTATGTTGGGTATGCATGCCTTTGTAGCTAAAATTGGGGCTCCTGGATGAGTCATTCTTAGCTACTTGGAAAATTCTTTTTATTTTTTAAATCAATTAAACTAGTTTAATAAAATTGTGCCTAGGGAGTTGAATTTGAGATTTTTCTCTTATGGCACAGGATGCATTTTATCCATCCAAAAGCTGAATTTAAACTTTGATGCTTTAGAGAAACAGTCATATACAGTTTCTTGAAAATGGTAGTTAGGCTTTTTGCTCCCATATTTTCCTCTTGATCTGATGACTCAAGTTATTTCTTTGAACTCTGTTTTCTAAGCTTATCATCTTTGCTTGTAAAGATTTCAAAATTTATTCTAGTTCAGATATCTTTTGTTCATGTTTGGTGGATTTGCCTTCCAAAATGGAAATTTCATTTCTTATCAATTCTATACTTTTATTCATATGTACTGCCACTTTCTCCACATTGATGATCTTCATTATCATTTTTTCTTGGCCTGTTTCTTTAGATACTAGTTCTTATGCATTACTAAATTGAGATTTTTCTTTGCTCTTATTTATCAGCTATTTAAAAAAAATATTTCATTCTTTGAAAGTGTCAGCTTTTTTTTTTTAGGGAGCCAATTTGATGTGTATTATACTCGATCCAGCTCTCTTTCTGGGTCATTGTTGAACTAATTTTTAAATTTTTCCTTCTAGAGACTTTTCAGGATTTTTCAATTTTTAATATTATTGTTTTGGAGGTTTTATTTTTTTTCCTACTTGCTCATTTTCTTGTTCTTTATTTTTTCTTTCTCTGAGAGACTATTCTTTTTTGAAGTCCTTTGGTGGTTACATTTACATGTCTGTCTATCTAACTGTTAGTATTACTATCTCTATTTGTGTTGGGGATATTGAAGAGTTGTGCTCTTTCCAAACTTCTTACTCCACTATGTTGACAAAAACAATTTAATCGATTTTTAAAGAAGTATCTCACAAAATGTCTCCAGACAGTCCATTCCAGTGTCAGTGTGTCCAGCCACACAGATAGCCATAACTCAGCATAACTAAGCAAGATTCAAGTGGAATTCTCTAATAATCTTGAATCAAGAAAAGGGTGCTCAAGAATATGTAATATAGAGCAGTTTTTAAAAGAAAATCTTTTCAGGTTCAGAGCTCAAGAACATTAACAAGAACAGTGTTTACCATAGCTGCTTTCTCACTGCTTGTCCTTTCAAGGTTTCCACATTAAAATTATTTGTCTTGGCAGGCATAATGAAAAACACCACAACTGTGACATCGCTTTTGTGCACCTGACAACAGAAAACGCAACAAGAAGTGCCAAGTATTGAAGATAAAAGCAAAATATGGTAAATTGATTTTTAAACCCTAGAAAATAGCATTTAAATTTCAATCAGTTAAATAGCAAAGATCCTCATTTACAATCCACATCATGTAATTTTCTTGCCAAACATAAGCCCTTTTTAGCCTTTTGAATTTTCCTTTCATATATCAATTTAGTTTTTTTCTTCCAGGCTGGCTTTTTAGCTTATAATTTTGTAAATTTAGAAGTGGAAAAATTAGGAATTAGGACATCTTCACCACACAATTTTTATAGCTTCTATATTAGTTGAATCTGCTATACTCTGCTTTAATCAACTAAATATCCTTATCAAATGGTGCTTCTCCTGTCTTATTGTTAGCAGACTCTTACTTCCTGATATTCTTATTCCTGAGATTCAAGGCAAAAACACCTTTCCAGTTGCCTTTTCCCTCACCCCCAATTTTCACCAATGTAGCTCAATTCTATTTGTCCCTGGTCATTATTCTCCTTTCATTGTACCTTTTAGAACAACTTCTCTCTCTTATTTTTTTTTTATTTTATTTTAGGCAATTGGAATTAAGTGACTTGCTCAGCTAGTAAGTGTCAAGTGTTTGGTCTGAGGCCGGATTTGAACTCAGGTCCTCCTGACTTCAGGGCAGGTGCTCTATCCACTGCATCACCTGAACAATGTCTTATCACTAACAAACTCTCCATCGTCATGCATCTCTTCTTCTTATACTCTCTAGCTCTTTGTTTCTTCCTGAGCTGACAGAAACAAAGCTTTCTCCAGAATACACCTTATCCCTTGTTGCAATCTCAAGTGCAAGTTGCTTTTTTTTTCCTGTTCTGGGCCAAAAACTGAGCCTAAAGGAGTAGTAAACTTATGCTTCCTCTCCCTTAGAATTTCCCAATCCTGTGTCTGGTACCATCATTTAGCAACCTCACCTTGTTTGAGGTTCACTCCATCCATCTGTATCACCTTGTTCAGTTCCTCATGGTAAAATTATCCATGAGCTGTCAGGTAGGCTTCCCTCCCTGTTCAAGTATGCCTGGATAACGGCTTTCATTTATACCCCCAGATTTACCCTCGCACTTGGGGATTGAAATATTTAAGTTTCCATCTTCTTGGTCATCTTAGTCTCCCAACTAATCAGCATCCTCAACTCTCATAACCTACATCTCAATTCTACCTCAGCCATTCACTTGGTTGGGCATATCTTAGAATTCACTATTATCTCAAACTATTCCACCTTCATCATCTTGAATTCCCCTTTCTGATTATAGTCTCCTGTCCTTCTATTTCTCCCTCTGCTTCATCCCTCCTAAATCTATTGTTTGTCCCTACTGTCATCCCCAATTCCTCTCTGTTCTCCCAGTCCATCATCCTTAGTCTGGTATCATTTTCCTCCCTTCATGAGCTTGATGCTCTCAATAAGAAGTCATTTTCTACCTTTGAATCTCCCTTTTCCCCTTTTCTTTCCATTATTCCTTCCCTGCAAATTCTCTGCCCTGGGTTACTTTGCCATCTGTCTTCTCTGTTTCAACTCATGAACTACTGAACACTGCTAGAAAAATGTCACACTACTGTACTGACAAGGTCCACCACAAATTCACTTTGAAAAAAAAAATCTCAACTAATCCTTTTATTTTTTTCCACAACTGAATCTTTACTATACCCTTTGAAGTGATTGTTCCAATACTTCTCCTTTCTCCTTAAGTCATCAATGCCACCCCACCCCACCTTCCTCTCAGTAATTTATCTCTCTATTTTGCTGAGAAAATAGAGACTCTTTATTGAGTTCTATCACATTCTCTTCTCTACACTTTAAAATCTCTCATATACCTTTATCCATCCTCTCCTCCTTTGCTCTTGATTACATCCTCCCCTTGTCCAACAGGGCATTCCCTTACTCAGATCTTTAATTCCAATATCTACTTGCTTCTTCACTGTTTTGAAGCAAAGGATGCAGAGAGTACCCAGATGGAGGTAATGTGGTCAGTGATAACAAAAACTACAGAAGTTAAGAATTATAAAAACAAAAAGAAAAAATAAAGAAAAACAAGAACTAAAAACTAAGAAAAGGTCTTCAGACTTAGAAGATCTAGGAATTTGGCAATTAAAGTGAGGAGATACATAAGATGATAGTTTGAGGGTGTGGCAGCATCAAGTGAAAATAAGAGTTGAGGCCTGAGTATTTTTAGGCAGTGAGGAGAGACTCTCACTGTATGGCTCTCCAGGTAGGGAAGGAAAAGAGTTATGTTCAGAAACAAATATACATTCAGAAAACAAAAAAAAATAGAAAAAATTTGAAAGGATTCAAGAAATATGGGATTCTTATACATTTTAATTTTCTATAGTTGCTTTTATTGGTTGCATGTTTTGCAGTTGTTTTTAGTTCAAAAACCTTACATGCCAGTCAACCAGCTAATAACCATTTATTAAGTACCTACTACGTTGTTGTTATTTGTCCTTTGTTCTCAAAAAAAGGACCATGGCATCAGGGAGGTGATGCCATAACATTCAAGTGAATTGAATTTAAGTGAGGGAGGGCTGACTATATATGAGGCAGGCAGCTAGATGGCCCAGTGGATAGAATGTCTGGCCTAAAGTCAGGAAGAAGTCATCATTTTCCTGAGTTCAAATCTGTCTTCAGACATGGAAAAGTTGTGTGACCCTGGGCAAGTCACTTAACCCTGCTTGCTTTAGTTTCCTCATCTGTAAAATGATCTGGAGAAGGAAATGGCAAACCATCCCTGTATTTTTGCCAAGAAAACCCCAAATGGGGTCATGAAGAGTCAGACAGGACTGAAACAACCGAATAACAACTGTATCCTAGGTCCTGTGCTAAGCAATGGGAATACAAAGATACAAAGAAAAGCAATTGAAGGAGCTCAGAGATTGAAGGGGAAGACAACATGCAAAAAACTATAAATAAGCAGTATACAGGGTCAGTAGAAAATAATCAACATTATGAGGGAAGGCACTAAAATTAAGGGGAAATGGGACAGACTTCCTTTAGGATATGCTTGTCCTAAACACGATTCAATGTAACTTTGAAGAACATCTTTCAAGTAAAAGCAAGCATTTTGGCAATGGAAGGTACACATTCAAATAGATAATGTGACCTTCTGAACAAACAACCTGAAATGCAGAATCAGAATTAATGTAGGACTCTCCTAGTTCAATAATTTTACAATTTCATGAAAGCTCTTTTGGTAGTGCTAAAAGCCACTCTACTTGTTTAGAAAAACAGAGTGTTCCCTACAAGTACTATGCCATATCTCAGAACCCAGAGCTTTCTTACCCGTAAGAGGAAGTTTAGTCTGGATAAAGCCTCCAAGAAGATGTCAGCTCCTTTGTTTGAAAATTCATATCTCCCCGCAATGAAAAGGAATAAAGTCTTTTCAAGGTCGAAATCAAGATGACTGAAATGGAACAAAATAATAAAATGTGTTCATTTGGGGCTGGGAAATGACCTAACTAGTATTCATTCCTCTTACAATGTCATTTGAGGTTCTTAATATCTTTGACTAAGATTTGGTACCCAAATGGAAGCTTCTTGGCACATTTTTCCTGAACTATTAATGTTGGAGTCCAAAAAGCCCAGTCAAACACTCTTAAAATGAACCCTAGGGGACTTGATAGTGATTTAACTCTGAGTTAAATACAAATGATATTTCATCCATAAACACTCTACCATGATTAAGAAGGGTATTGTGGCAGGATAAACAATCCCAACTTTACAATGGAGATCATCAAAGGAGGTCCACTAAAAATCTGTTTATTTTTACAATTGATAGGAAAAGAAAAGGGAACTCTTTTTTGCTAGGATTTTGTTAATGGCTCTTGGGGATCCAGAATGGAAATTTGTGCCAACTAGTGCAGTAAAGGATTCGCTACAGATTCCTGTAAATATATTGCCTATAAGGCAGCATTGCACAGTGGATGAGTCAGGATGACCTTCTTTTAAGTCTTGCCTCTCATATATACTGACTATATGTCTTTGGTCCAGTCATTTAATCTTAATTCCCTAGACAACTTTCTAAGACTATAAAGTGCAGAATAATTGACTATCTGCGTTAATGGAAGGAGTTTCCTTCCCTATAGCCATGAAGTCATGGGTCTCAACCAAATGGAATATATGTGGAATCCACTTATTCCAAATGGAATCCTATGTGGACAAAAGCGACAGATTAGTGAGAAAACATGGAACTCCTCTTTTTCATCTATAGTTATAATCCTGCTTTCTGTGTGCTGGATAACTATTAAAATTCATGCACTGATTTGAGTTAGAGAAAGCATATTGGTACAATGGGAAAAGTGTTAGATTTAGAATTGGAAGACCTGGATTCAAATCCTAGCTATGCCACTCACTACCTGTAAGACCTAGATACATCACTCTCTGAGCCCCAGTTTCTTAATCTGTAAAGTGAACAGATTGGACTTGATGATTTCTATGGTCCCCTCCAGTTCCAAGATCTCTGATCTTGCTGCCCATGTACATACCCATAGAAATGACCACGAACAAAATCCTGGATCCTGGACTTATACAAAGCATGCAAATTTTGAAACTCATGCACAGCTGAAAATTTCTTAATGTTCAGACCATTTGGAGTAACAACATCTGGAAAGGCAGAGAGAGGTCAGAGCCAGAAATTTAGTGGACTTTAGCAACAGTATGATGTTGCAGCCTAAAAACACAACGTGATTTTAGGCTATATTTGTAGAAACATAACATCCAAAGAAGGGAGGTGATAGTCCTGCTATATTCTATCCTTCTTAGACTCCATCTAGAGTCCAGTGTTCAGCTTTCGGTGCTACTGTAGCAGCTTTGCGAGGCCATTGATAAACTGAAGTATGTCCATAGAAGGGTAACCAGGATGACAAGAAAACTGGTTCATAGCATAAGGGGACTCAATTGAAGGAATTGGAGGTGTTTAGCCTGGAGAAGGAAAGACTTTACCAACAACATGGTAACTGTCTACAAAGGATTATCAAGTAGAGATGTATTAGACTTATAGTGCGAGACCCAAGAGGGCAGAACCAAGAGCAGTGGGAGCTGCCAGGAACCAGATTTCAATTCAACACAAAGAAAACCATTCTAACAATCCATGCTGTCAACAAGTGGGATGAACTACCTCAGGAAATAGTGGATCCACTCTCATTGGGAATTATCAAATAAAGACTTAGTGACTGCCTGACGGATACGGATTTCTAGTTAGGTACAGACAGGTTTAAATGACCTTTAAGGTCCCTTCTGGCTCTGAGGTTCTGTGGTCTCTCATGAGGCAGAAAAGCCTCAGGTTCTCATGATTCCAAATTCAGCACATTTCCCACTACGCCAATCTTTGTTTCAATCAAAGTCTTGAAAAAGACAAACTAAAGATTCTAAGGAAGGGCATTAGGGAGTGCATTTCTAGCACGTGCACAGCCTGCACAATGGCAAACAGGTGGAACATGGAATACGGAGTCCAAGGAATAGCAAATAGACCCCTTAGGTTGAAACACAGTGCAAGAAAAAGAATAATAGGAAATAAGATTGACTGATTAGTGGGAGCCAGACTATAAAGATCTTTAAGGGTCAAGGTGAAGAGTCACTGTTTTGTCCTAGAGGCTATATAGAGCCATTGAAGTTTCTTCAGCAGAATAATGACACTGTCAGTAAACAGGAGAGTGATGTGGTCACACTTGTACTAGAGGAAGATCATTTCGGTAGATGTATTTATCAAGGAAGAATTAGAGAGCAGAGTAACAGAATGCTGGGGGGGCCAGTTAAAATATTAGTGCAAGAGTCCATCTGAGAGGTGATGAGGAACTGAAGTAAGGCAGTGGTAATGTGAAAAGAAAGAAAGGGAAAGGTTGGAGAGAAATTATAGTGGCTGAAGAAGAACAACAACAATAACAATGACTTGGCAACTGCTTGTGTATGGCAAGTTAGAGAGATGGAACAGTCAAAAGTGCTGCTAGCGTTTCCAATCGCTGTGACTGGACAGTGCCCTCAACAGGAACTAGGAAGTTTAGAGAAGTAAATTAGAGTCAGGACAAGATAAAGTTTTATTGTAGACATGTTGATTTTGAGATGCCTTTGGTCCATCCAATTCAAAACATACAACAAAGCAGCTGGTGATGAGGAACTGGAAGTCAAGAGAGAGATTAGGGTTGTTCTTCTGGGAGTCAATAGGAGTTGATGAGATCATTGAGAGAAGGTAAAGAGAGAGAAGACATAAGTCCTAGGACAGAATCTTGGGGTGCCCTGTGGAGAGAGAATAGAACATGGAGAATAGTCTATCAGAGGAGCCCGAGGAGGAGACAGCTAGAAGAAGAACAAGGAGAGAGCATTATCAATGAAATCTGAGGGAAGCAAGAGAATTCAGGAGGAGGAGTGGTCACCATCTCAAAAGCTACACAGAGATAAAAAAAGAACAGGGACTCGGAAAAAGTTCTTGAATTTAGTGCTGAATAGACTTAAAAACCTAAGAGCTAGTCTTTTCATTTGGTTGCGAGATTAAAAGCCATATTACAAGGGGTTGAATGAGAAGGAAGTGGTAGAAAGTATAAATGGCTTCTGAGTTTGGGGCTATGGAAAAGAGGAGACAGAGAAGCCAATATCTTCCTATTTAAATAACATTTCACTAAGAAGCTGCTGGTTAGGCCATGTGTGGCTTATCCATGATGCAGATCTGGAATATGTGAAGGTCTAACCTTTTCACCCAGCTCCCTACCATATCCACTAATATTGGCATGCAGGTTCAATTCCAGACACACATATATCCCTCCTTAACATGGTACATGAAACTCTGGCCTATCATATGTACAGTCTCATGCTACTGGATATTTGGGGATGAGGTAAAAAGAGCACATAGGAAATGACTGGGTATACCTAGTGTCTGCATCCAGGCCCAACATATAATATATATATATATATATATATATATATATATATATATATATATATATATCCTCATCTCCTCAGCCATTGCAACTTCTCTTGAGGAGAACTAAGGGAAAAGGACCTTACTTCAATCAAACCATGGAATTCTATTGTTCCTCAGGTATTCCAACCATTTCTCCCTGTCAATTTCACATGGTAAGGGAGGAATGTCTTAGCTAGTCTAAACACGAAGGCAAAAGCTTCACCAGAACCTATCATGAGGGTGGGGGGGGAGATGTAGGAGGGGGCAGCCCATATTTTCTCCTCCCACTCTCCTGTGTGCCAAAGTATCTAGCTTGGCCACAAGAAAGTTTATGATTAGGGACTACCCACCATTCCCAGTTTCATCCTCATGTTTCTCCTCCCTGCAACTTGCTGGGAGCTACTGGGAGTGTGATAGGTAAGGCTGCTGAGAGATGGAGAGATGCCTGATTCCAATATCCACAGACTCTATTGAATAGCATACATCCTGATCTAGTCTTCCCAATCTTGGCCATCCTAATCTTCTCCCCTCACTTTATTGACCATAGCCTCTCTTGCGATGTTTGTTATTCATCGTTTGTTTTGAAGAGGACCAATGACATCAAGGCTGATGTCTTCACTTGTATGTGAATTGGATTGAAGTGAGGCAGTTGCACCATATCAGCAGCCTCACTCTCTTCCAGAGTCACTGAAGCCCAGCGGCAGGACAAAAGTCAAAATGACTGGTGATGGCTTGGGATGCAGTGGATGACCATGGCATCTTTGATGTCTGACCAAGCTCTTAAGCACTTCACAGATTCAGATGCATTCATGGCCTTTGGAACAAACTGTTCTCATTCACCCATTCTGTCAGGGAGGTCTTCACATGCTTGGTCTAACTCATCAATGGGCTGCCCTCAACTTGGTTTTAACCCTTCTACCAAGACAGTTTTACAGGGTGTGGCTACTGAGCATGCTACACCTTCTTGGAGAATGGACTATGATTGCATAATGGGGGCAGCTAGGTGGCTCAGTGGATAAAGTCCTGGACCTGGACTTGGAAAGACCTGACTGAGTTCAAATCTGGCCTCAGATATTTACTAGCTGTGTGATCCTGGGCCAGTCACTTAATCTCTTCTTGCTTTAATCCATGCGAGAAGAAAATGTCCCTGAGAAACAGTTGATCTACTCTCCCAGCAAGAGTCTGCTCCCAAAAAAACAAACAAACAAAAAAGGGGGAGGGGACAGCTAGGTGGCACAGTGGATAGAGCACCAGGCCTGAAGTCAGGAGGACCTGAGTCCAAATGTGGACTCAGACCAAACACTTGACACTTACTAGCTGCGTGACCCTGGGCAAGTCACTTAACCCCAATTGCCTAAAAAAAAAAAGAGTCTGCTCCCGTTCCATCATTCTCTCTGCTCTTCTTCCCACCTGCAACCAGGCACCAACCCTACTTTAGGAATATTAGCACTATTAAAGGGCATTTTTGATTACTACTCTGAGGCAAAATTTCTAAATTTAGGTAAATCACCACCTGAGGTGCAAATATTCTCCCAGCTTTTCTGTACCTCAAAAGGTTGGTAATACGTACTTCATTGCCAGTCTCAGTGAATATTTACCTAAAATGCCATTTCAGTAGAATGTAGTTCTCCTCAAAAGCAAGGATTTTGTCTTTGCATCCCTTGTGCCTAGTGCATACTAGGTTCTTACTAAATCCTTAATTGCCTGTTGTCTCAAATCTCTTTCTCTCTCATTGTGTAATTCTTCATTTAACCAGTGCTGTTGCTGTGACTACAACATTAATTTGGGAGTGGGGGAGATTCGAATAAAAACATAAGCTAGATGAGGTGAGTACTAAGAAGAATGCCCTTGGGAAAGTCTTTCAGGTTTAATGATCAACAAAAGTCCATTGACCTTTCTGAGTTATGAGTGACCAAGGATTTCACAACTTCAGTTTTAACCTTTCTCTCTCTAGTCAGAGGTGAAATTGATTGAAATGTCATAAGAGGTTTAGAATAAAACCCTGAGACTCCATTTGAGCTCTAAAGTTCTGATTTTGTATTTGAACCATGATAATTAATGTTCATATAGACTTTAAGATCTGAAAAGCCCTTCATATATATTATCCCATTCATTTTAACAACCCTATGAAATATTGTCTCTATTTTACAGTTGCAGTTAAGCGGCTTTTCCCAGGTCACATAGCTCCTAAGTGAAGAAGCAGGAATTTGAAGGTCTGGTCTTTCTACTATGCCATGATGCCTTCTCACATGGATCTGAGCCCAGATTGTTTTAATAGCATATGCCTCAATTAAAAAGTAGCCATAATAAAGGTGATAAGAATTCTATGATTTTTACTCCTTTTTCTTTTTTTTCAGTATCTATTTACTTCCCAACACTTTCTGATGCTTTATTGCTATCCCTAAATTTAGTGTTATCATAATTATTGTATTGCCATGGCCCAAATATAAGCAGTTGTTCTGTCCTCTCCTCTCCTCTTTTCTTTTTCTTTCTCTCTCAGTCTCTCTGTCTCTGTCTCTGTCTATCTGTCTGTCTGTCTTTCTCTCTCTCTCTTTCTTTCTCTGTCTCTGTATCTGTCTCAGCAAGTGTATCTCTCTTTTCCTCTTGCACTCTCTGCTGAAAGCATTAGCTTCTGGACAATGGAACAAAGTGCAAATGGTGAAATTTCTGGTATTAGTGAGAAGGCAGGGAGTTTGTGAAGGCAAAGAAAGGCCTTCCCAGTGCCACTGAGATCATATCCTCTTCTTCCCTTCTATGCACCTCAAAAACTGTTAATATTCCCAAGTCTCTTCTTTTTCGCTCTGGTCTCTGATGAAGAGATGGTCTCTCTCCTTCCTATGCAAGACTAACCTTTGTATTTATCTTATCCTGTCTCTCTTCCACAAGATCAACCCCACATTTCTCTCCAATCTTCAGTCTTTCCTTTTGTCTCATTTCCTGTTGCCTACAAACATGCTCAGGTGTCCTCCATTTTTTAAAAAGAACTTTAACTTGACCCTATCATGCCCTTAAGCCTTTATTTTGTATCTCTTTCCTTCACAAGTAAACTCTTTCGGGGAGAAGGGAACTATCTCCTTTCCTTCTCTTTTATAATCTGGTTTCCTACCAGTTTCAAGGGAAACTGCTTTCTCCAAAGTTACCAATGATCTCGTAATTGCCAAATGTGTTGGCTTTCCCCCATCTAATCTTCATCCCTCTTGACCTCTTAGCAGAATTTGTTGCTGTTGACTACTCTCTTCTCCTGGATATTACTTCTTTTGGGGTTTTGTGACTTTCTTCTTTCTTGGTTCTCCTCATACTTGTCTGTCCAGTCCTTCTCAGTTTCCTTTGCTAGATAATCATTCAGATCCCACCTCCTAACTATGGGTGTTTCCCAAGTTCTCTTTGGCCCTATTCTCATTTTTCCTCTACACACACACTCTCTCAGAGACTTCATCAACAACAATGGGTTCAATCATTTCTACACAGATCACTCTCATATCTATATTTCTAGTCCTAGTCACTCTCCTGGACCTCAGGTCCCACATCACCAATTTCCTGTTGGATATTTTAAACTAGACATCTCATAGGCATCTCAAATTCAGTCCATCCAAAACAGGAACAATTGTCTTTCCCCCAAGAACTCAGTGTTCTTCAGAATTTCCCTGTCCCTTTTGAGAGCACTACTATCCTTCTGGTCACCCACATCTGCAACCTGAGAGTCACGTTCAACTTACGGCTTTCCCTCACACCACCTATCTAATCAGTTGCCATATCTTGTTGATTCTATCTCTGAAACAACTCCCTAGTCTGTCTTTTTCCCTAAAAACACAACACCACCCACCAAAGTAGTTCAGCTGATTCTCTATAGTGAAGAATGAAGAAAGGCCTCTTTCACTGCCTCTCTACTATTCCAAGGCTTTTTGTTAAGGATTTGTTCAATCACAGTGTAATATGTTCATTGGGTGAACATTTCCTAAACAACAATAGTTTGCAAGGCATTTTTCTAATACACAAAACTTCATCACAAGTAACCTTCAAACTAACAGGAGAGATAGGATATGTACACAAATAAATGTAACCTGAGACAGGCTGTAGTAAATGTTGTAAGCATTGTTAGAACAAAAAGCAATAGGATCCCTAAAAGGGGTTGTGAAGAGTCAGACACAATTGAAGTAATTAAATGACAATAACAATGGTGTAAGATGGCATTTTGTATGAACTATCATCTATAATTGAATACAGGAATTTGAATAGAAATAATAATTATATAAGAAACATCTTATTTTTAGCACAGAAGAATAAGGGTTAAGTGGCATTTGAGCTAAGCCTTGAAAAATGGATAAGATTTCAAAAAGATGAGATAGTAAGAGAGGGGAGTGCCTCACAAGCCAAAGAAAGAAACAAAGATAGAGCTGTTAAAAGTGAAAACTTTGCTTAGGAAGTAGAAGATAATCCCATTTATCTGGAACGTGTGGTACATGTAAAAGAGTAGTCAGAGATATAGTAGGAAAACTAATTTGGGGCTAAATTGTGGAGAATCTTGAATGCCAAGTTATGAAATTCAGATTTTATGCAGTAGACAACAGAAGATTTTTAAGCAGAAAGGTTAACAGTATCAAAGGTGCTCTAAGAAGATTAATCAGGAAACAGTCTATAGGATGGATGAGAGTTGGAAGGGAAGAGAAAGTCAGAAAGACTACTTAAAAGGCTGTTGCAATAATCAACATATGGGGTGATAAGGATTATGAAATAATACGTATGGGGAAGATGTCCACCAGATAAAAACAGTTGGAAATTAGAGACTGAAATGTAAGAGAGGTGGTGTTAGAGAGGTAAGGTAGTTAAATACAGAGGTAAGAGGGATACAGATAGAGATTTGAGACTTGCCCAAAGTTGTAATAGTTGAAGCCCATTCAGGGAGTATGCACAGAAAAGAGAAGGGTAAGGACAGAGCTTAAATTTAGGAGTCAAGAATAGAGGAGCCAGTTAAGGAAAGAGGGAAGAAATAGTCAGAGAGTCTTAAGGAGAACCAGAATCACAGAAGTCAAAGGAAGAGTTTATCTTTAAGAGTACTGGGAAAAATACTTTAGATTTAGAAGGATGAAGGCTAAGAAAAAGGGAAATTACATATTTGGTAATAAAGTAGTCATTGGTGAGCTTAGAGTAGGTTCAATAATAACAATAACAATGATGATGATAACCTATATTTATATGGTGTTTCAAAGTGCTTTTTATATATCATACCATCCAATATTCAGTGAAGTGGAGTAGGTGGAATCCAGATGAAAGGGCAGTTGGATAGGAGGTATGTAAATTCTTTGAGTGGGGATATTTGTACATCTTGGGTCTTGTACTTTGTCAGGCACATAATAGGTTATTGAAGATGCAAGAACAAAACAGAAAATTCACAGAATATAGGAGTCAAGTCAATAAGCATTTATTAAGTACCTATGCTATGTGAGGCATAGTGCTAAGCACTGAGAATACAAAGAAAAGTTAAAAGAAATTGTCCCTGCTTTCAAGGAGCTTACCACCTAATGGGTGGTGAAACAATTATATACAAACAATTATGTACTGACTAAACTGAAGATAATCTCAAAAGGAAGGCACTAGCATTAAGGGAGGATCAAGAAAGGTTTCTTGAAGAAATTAGGATTTAGCTGAGACTTGAAAGGTACCAGAGAAACCAGGAGTCTGGGAAGAGGAGGGAGAACATTCCAGGCATGGGGGAGAGGAGGAGTGGCTTAGCCAGTGAAAATGCATGGAATTGGAACAAGGGTATTAGAGAAACAGCAAGGAGATCACTGTGACTGGATTTTAGAGTATGTGGAGGGGAGTAAGTTTTAAGAAGACTGAAAAGGTAGGAAGAAGCCAGGAATAGAGTGTTCTCACAGTAATTGACCCATCCTAAAACTTGATCTTGACTTCCATTTTCCTAGGTTAAAGCCCAGGTTTAAGTTTCCTTAAAGAGAATTTTTGATTTAAACTCATTGTGACAACTCATTTCATACCACAGATAATTTTAACCATGATTTCCAATCCAGTCCAACAATTATTTATTAAGTATCTACTATGTGTTAAATGCTGGGGATACAATTAATAATAACAACAACAACAACAACAAAAAGACTGTCTCTGCGTTCAAAGAGATTGTAATCTAAAGGATGAATGAAATCTAATGATTTCCATTAGATGCTGCCGAAAGTAAGAATTATGTACATCATATGTATAGCTGAGAAACTTCGTCAAAGATCTGCCTAGAAAAAAAGATAAGCCAACCACAAAATAAGGATAAGATGCAATGAAAGAGAGTTCAATTATTGCATTAATATCCTTGAGATGTTTTTAAAAATAGGAGGGGGGGGCAGCTAGGTGGCTCCTGAAGTCAGGAGGACCTGAGTTCAAATCCGGCCTCAGACCAAACACTTGACACTTACTAGCTGTGTGACCCTGGCCAAGTCACTTAACCTCAATTGCCTAAAAGCAAAAAAAAAAAATAGGAGGAAGGGTTGCAGATCAGAGTGAGCCCTTTCTGAAGGATTTATTGAAAAACATGATCCAAAATTACCCAAAATGAGAAAGTATAAAGATGTTGTGATCTACTTGGGGACAGAGCACCCATGCAGACGAGCTCACCAATGCACCTAAATGTCCAAGTATATATTATTCTATATATACATATGGAATGGTATCAAATGGGGTAGTTAGGTGGTGTGGTAGATAAGAGTGTCAGGCCTAGAGTCAAGGAGACCTGAGTTTAAATCTGTCCTCAGACATTTACCAGTTGTGTGACCCTGGGATTAACCCTGCTTGCCTCAGTTTCCTGATCTGTAAAATGAACTGGAGAAGGAAATTGCTGACCACTCCAGTATCTTTGCCAAGAAACCTCCCATAAAAGAGGTCATGAAGAGTCAGACACTACTGAAATGACTAAGCAATGGTAACAATGGTATAAAATGGTATTTTGTTTAAACTATCATCTGTGATTGAATACGGGGATTTGAATGGAAATAATAATAATAACAATTATTATTATTATTATAACTGGCATTTACATAGCACCTTAAGTTTTGAAAAATGCCTTACAAATATCTGATTTTATCTTCAAAACAACCCTAGGAGGTAGGTGCTGTTATTATCCCATTTTACAGATGAGCGAACAGAGGCAGGCTGAGGTTAAATGACTGGGCCAGGATCACCCAAGTACTAAGTGTCTGAATCTGGATTTGTATTCTGATCTTCTGATACCTAGCCCAGCACTCCACCCCCTGCACCACCTTGCTGTCTCAGATAAGAAGTACCATATGATTCCTCCCCATCCCTCCATGCCTCCACCACTTTATTTGTCACCTTCAAAGCTCAGTGACAGATCGTGTAGATGACCATTACCAGGTTTTCTTTTCAGCATGTGTTCAGCTTCTATGGCAGTGATTTCAGAAACTGTAGTGAACACGTGAGCGCAGTGAACGGAAGCTCGCTCCATGCAGTACCGATGGTAAATCTGTCTCTCCCCAGCTTCCTTGTCTATATCAAACTGTTAAGCAAAGCACACACATTTGCCTCTGTTGAAACTCCTACACAAATAAAGGAGAACAAAACTTTCTCATTGCTTCTGTTAATTAGGACAAAAGCGTCTGTGGTGTTTCAAGCCTTAGCAGAACCAAGACTAGGAATTCTTAAGCCTGGGGGAATATGTAGTTGGGTTGGGTGGGAGAGGGGTGGGTTTTATAAACCAAGCACCAGTCAGGCCCACTCTCATGCTGAAAGTTTCACGAGATGAATTTAAATTGCATGTTCTTTTAGTTTCTATTCCAGCACATAAAACAAAAGAAAACAAAATTATTAGCATTAACAGAACTCCATATAAAAATCTCCAGCCTATGGGAAACTAAAACGTACCAACCTCTCAAACAGGTAAAACAAGTGAATTTTCCTAGGCCTAAGAATGGTGGCCCAGCAACAGAGAAAGTTGGGTGGCCGTAGATAAGTTTCTTGGTAATGGGACCCTACTCGTGGAGAGGGTGGTGGTCCAGGGCTAGGTGACAGGTCAGGAATAGTTGTGCCAGGCTGTACAGATGGTCAGAGGACCACAAAGTATTGCGATGGTGGGCCAAAGGAAAATCAGGGTGATAAAGGGTGCCTTCTTGGATGTTGTAACCCTGATGAAGATTCAGTCTCCACCCTAGATGTGGCCCTGAGGCTTTCCTTTTAACTTAAGTTTCCTAAATAAACTGGTATTAATCTGGTCTGAATATATTTTTTAATTTATTCTCACTCACTTTAGAATTTGAAATCTATCCCTTCTGCCCCTAAGCAAGAACTGTCTTCCTGTGTTTCACTGTTTGCCTAATCACTGTGAGATATATATATATATGTGTGTATATATATATATGTATATGTATATGTATATGTATATGTATATGTATATGTATATGTATATGTATATGTATATGTATATGTATATGTATATGTATATGTATATGTATGTGTATATGTGTATGTATATGTATATGTATATATGTATATGCATATATATGTATGTATATGTATATATATTAGCCCTCCCTTCTGTTGAATATGGAAGTCATCTGCCTAGTGCTGAATTTTTATCAAGACTTGTGACTCCAAAACTTATAGTGTGAACAGTGTTTCTTAAATTGTAAAATATGGACAATTCATAGTCTAAAGGGATATTCCAGATGTTTAACATGTGGGTTTCTGGTATTATTAGCATTTTAAATGTATTTACCATATAATATGAAAATACATGGTAAATACATTTAAAATGCTAATAATACCATGTGGGCATCCAAAAAAATACCATTTTTTTCCTCTTCATTCTGGTGCCTACCAGCCTCCTCTTTCTTCTTAAACTTACCCTCCACCTCCTACACACACACACACACACACACACACACACACACACGCACACATACTTCCACATACCCTGTCTCTGGTAGTAATCCCTACTCCATCAAGTCTTAGGTCCACAGACATAATGAAAATCATCGAAATAGACTTAATTAAATGTAGAAAAAGGAACCTCACTTATTAAAATGAGATCAAATTTGCAATTTTTGAAGGTTAAGCAAAATCAGGGGTTTTTAACCTGAGGCCTCTAAACCTATTTTTAAAAATACACTTTGATAACTGTATTTCAATATAATTGGTTTCCTTTGTAATTCTATATATTTTATTTTGACTTTAAAACAATTCTGAGAAGAGGTTCTTAAGTTTTACCAGGCTGTCAAGGGGGCTTGTAATAAAAAAACCCAAAAAGTTAAGAACTACAAAAATTATTTCTTTACTTCCTATTTTAATTACTTAACAAAAAAAAACCCCTGACATATAATACTAATACTCTATATTTGCCTAGCACATTCATTTCCCACATTTAAAAAAGAAATTGAACTTTTTCCTTTCCCTTGAGATTCAAAACTCTCATAATGTCTGAGGATATTGCCCATAAACACTGGAGGCTAAAATTCAACTTGGCATAAGAAATAATCATTAATATTATTTCATAGAAGAAAGATAATTTTCCTAAGTTTATGGTCTGCATGATCAATTTATTCTTCATTAAATTAATTGTGAAGCTTTTTACTATTAGCTATTCACACAGAAACAAGTTGTTAGATCCTACTGCTATTTTCCAACTCCCTGGTAACCTTAAGAGGCTATAAAAATTAACTGTTTCACTTTTATTTGAATGGTGGTTCTTTCAGGTAGAAACAATATAAAAAGTTCGTATGTCATGGTGGATGCTATTAAACTTTGCCACTGCCTTTTTATCACTCTAATGAGATTCCTTCTATAATTTTGTCATTTTTAAGTTTTACTTGGTAATGCTATGAGCTCCCAGGCTGTTAGAATGGCAAGAAATCCACTAGTTTTATAGATAAGGAATAAAGGATGAGGAAGGTCAAATTCCTTGCTGAAGGTCACATGGCCTAGCAGGCACTAAGAACCCATCTTTAAAGAGAGAAGAATGTCCCCTGCTCTACCTACTTGGAAGAGTTTGTTGTGAGGACCAAAGGAGATCATATATGTGAAAGTACTTTGCAAAATGTAAAATCACTATTCAGGTGTTATAAAATTATAATTTAAAGTAACATTTTACACTGCAGCTGTTCTATAGACCTTCAGCTTGGTCTGGAACTCAGTGACATTTTTGGAGAATATGAAGAAGAGAGTTTTTGTCTCATCCATAATAAGGAACTGTCATTTCTAATGTGTTCTTGGGCTTTAATGGGCAGATTGGGCCTAATCTCTCATTTCAGTTTTCTAATCCCCAAAATTTTTATGGGGTGGGGGCGGACAAGTAGAGGAAATGTCACTTAAATTTTCAGAACCTGGGCCTGAGGCTATGAATTACATACCCATTTGTATACAGACGTATACACACATATACACATGTACATACACATATTCATACACACATATTCATATATACACATATATTCAAACATATATACATATATATTCATGGTGGTACCTATCAACATAGGCCCCACCAGTTTTGTTCTTTTTCTTCCTTACTGTGCTCTGGGTTACTCTTCTTGGGGGCAGGGTTATTCAGTCATTATATTCATGAGTATTTTTACACCTTTATAACAGTGATAGATAATCCTAGATTCTATGTACATACATTATTTTAAATTTCTGGGAGGGAATAACAAATTCAAAATATAGTGATTATTTGAGATAATCTGCCCTCCTAGACTTCAGATTTTTAATAACAAATTTTACTAATTTATTTTTAAAATTTTATTAAGTAAATAATTTAAACTGAGATTGTTTATCGTTGAGTTGTATCTGACTCTCTGTGACTCTGTGGACCACAGTATGCTAATACTGTTCATAAGGTTTTCTGGCAAAGATATGGGAGTGGTCTGTCATTTCTTTCTCCAATGGATTCAGACAAACAGTGGTTAAATGACTTGCCCAGGGTCACACAGCTAGTAAGTAACTGAGGTCACATTTGAACTCAGGTCCTCCATAACTCCAGGCTCACCACCATCCACTGATCCACCTAGCTGCCTGTATTTATAATTTATAAATTCTGAACCATATTGAACTTCATGGGTTTATGCATCTGTAAAGAGAACTGCTTGGGCAAAATGATATCAGGGTTCTGTTTTAGCTATAAAAATATGTAAAATAATCATTTTGCCTCATGGATTGTCTGCTTCCTTTTTTTTTTTTTTGGTTAGGCAATGGGGTTAAGTGACTTGCCCAGGGTCACACAGCTAGTAAGTGTTATGTGTCTGAGGCTGGATTTGAACTCAGGTTCTCCTGAATCCAGGGCTGGTACTCTATCCACTGCTCCACCTAGCTGCTCCAGATTGTTTGCTTCTTATTGAATACAAACCTTTTGGATTTCAAGTTTACTACAGTTCAAATTCTTTTAAGTTTACTCTTGACAGACATTTTTCTGGTTCAAAAAATGAATTTTGTACATAGCTCATTATTTGGGGGGCCATAATTTTTTTCTATAAATCATAGCCACAACTTTGAACGACAATCAGAAACTTTTAAAAATTTAGAAGGGAAAAATAAGTCTTTATTAAAATATGTTAATATGATTTGAGGTATTTCTCAGTGCAGATGCAATAAATGCCATTAGAATTATATTTTATTCTTTTGAAAAAAATTTATACCTATATGTGATGGGTATTTATTTCATATTATCGTTGTTTGTTATACAATAATGAGTACTCTCCTGGGTTTAAGGTCTATTTTAGATGACCCATAGAAGAGCATCTGTGAATAACTAAGATCTATTGACATTTTTTAAAAATTAGTGGTGTCAAAGGATTCATTTGGTTTCCTTTTGTAGGGCTTTGGGCTGGCCTCACACTTGATGCAGTATGAATCCAAAGTATACAAAACAACCATGTATCTAACTACTTTTGCACAAAAACCTTAATGCTACTGCTTCTGAACTTAACAAATATTGTAAGCTAAGTAACTGATGGGCAAACCTTTGCATAAAAGTCCTCCAAAAGTTGGGAAGGTTACTTCTTCCTGGGCAGAAACAGAGAGGCAGGATGCCTGGTGGCTGCATTTTTACATTTTGTGGAATTGTAGAAAGGGACTGTTCTTAAGAACAGAAGAGAGAGCTTGGCTTTGGATAAAGCAAGATAAGCCATTGTATTCTCTGAAGCTCTTTCTGTGCTAGTGAGTGTGATCCAGGTTAGGCCTGCAGTTGCGAATGGTTAGGTGAGGTTGAGGTTGATAGGCCTCACTCAAGTGTTGAGGAGACAGCTAGGTGGCTCAGTCTGGGCCTGCAGTCAGGAAGATCTGAGTTCAGATGTGACCTTAGACACTTACTAGCTGTGTGTCCCTGCGCAAGTCACTGAGCCCTATTTGCCTCAAATTCATTTGTAAAGTGACCTGGAGAAGGAAATGGTAAACCACTCCAGTATCTTTGCCAAGAAAACCCCCCCAAAAAGGGCTCACAAAGAATCAGAACAGAATGAATAACAACCAATTCAATTATTGAGAAGGAATGTGGCATAATAAAAAGAGTCC